ACGCTCGGGATGGCAATTACACAGAACTCAAACCTGGTTCCTCTAAATTCGTTCCGAAACCGCGAGGAATGCCTTCGCGCAGATAATACAATATGTATTAGAGCGCATAGGCACATGGTGGAGAGGTTCGCGTTTTTCGCTCGAGGAAGCCGGTTGCGGGCAGTTCTGTCGGCTCAGGGGGGGAGGAGGGATCGAATCGACGAACAGAGAACCCACCAACGACACTCATGGGAGAAAAAGTGGACGTAGGCTCGCGGAACTTGGAGATTTATGAGCCTCACGAGGTCATCGAGGTCGAGCTTCCGAAAGAAGAATCCTTGTCCGGATCCATTCGCTCAATAATTTCAACGAGGCTCTCTTCTTCCAAGCGCTCAGCCCCCTCCCTCGCTCCGCTACAGACTCGAACGGGCAAGCCTAGGACTTATATTCCGAGTTCAATCTAGGATTGGTTCTTCGGATTTGATTGGAGGGGAGACTCCGAGTATGGTGTTCTCATTTGAAGTTGCGAATCCCATCCCGCAGGCCAGGACCTAAGGGGAATGAGCTGGATATGCCACTTTTGAATTTGGGCGGTGGTTGGATACCTTCAAATAATTTCCGTTGATGGTCATGTTTCTGTCCGAGAGCCGTTACGAATACAGCACGGCTTTCTGGCTCTGACGGGATCGGTCGAGCTGAAAAACGAAGGAAAAACGATGAAGGCGCAGCATTGCTGGGCTCGCGTTCCTCTGGGACGCCGGAAGCCCCCAAAGTTTTGGACATTGATCCGAGTGTTTTCTGAATGGGACTGGATTGAGATATCATCTCGGAGAGTCCAGAGAATCCCGGAGGCTGTGAGAGCGTATGCCGATCGATCGTGTACCAAAGGGAAGGCTTCGAGAGTCTGTCTTCGGAATGATTGCGTGGGACTACTACTCGCCGCGCTCTCTGGAAATTGTTGTTGTCTCCATACTTCGGCCTTGCCCGCATGTCGATCTTTCATCGCTACCGATGCGCCAGCGGCGAGCACGAATCTCCTCCGGGCCACTCAGGAGTTTCAACTAGCTAGGCTTGCCGTCGACGAGGACCAACGGCAGGCATGATTCGAATTTCGGTCTCGACTGAACATCAAGGAGTTTGGGGCTTGTCGAAGAGCGTCCCTTACAGGAAAAGTTCCATCAGTTAGGGCTCGGATTCTGTCATACGGACAACGAAAAAAGATACGCCATTTTCACAAACAGGACAAAGCCCTCGAGGACTCATTCTCGCTTGAAGCTATGTACCAATGGGGGCGACATTTTGAGCAGAAAAAAAATCGGCAGCGTTAAGATGCTCGTGGCAGAGACCAGAATTGAGGTACCCGGGGCCAAGCAATTGTTTCAGCAGCCGGTTCGACTCCCGCTGGGGGGCTCGATCCGACTCGCGACCCCTGATCAATCTCGGAAGTGGCTCCCAACCATCGCGAGGAGAGCTCCGTCCTGAGCCACCGACGCGACGTTTATCGAACGTGGAGACATCCTCCGGTCTTCGTGGGAGAGACCCGGCTGCTACAGAGTGAACCGAGCTTCCGCCGTCGAGGCTTTTACGCTTCGAGCAGGACCTTCGGAGCGGGATTGAATTCTCAATTTCCGCAGCGCATATCCCCGTCCGGAATTCCTCGCAGTGCCGATGCGCTCGATGACCTTCCGTGGTGAGCCATGTTGACGCTCACGGTACACAACGGGCTGAACCGTGGAACGAGACACGGTCTCGTAAGCCGATGCGAGTCGGATGAATCGGTTTCAGTCCAACAAGTTCGTTCGTGATTCGATTCGTATCGAGACGAAACGACGGCATCGTCATCGAGGCTCGGGCTTCAGATGCCGCACCGAATACCAGAGTTCGATCACGGGTGGGGAAACGGGCTTCGCCACATCAGCAGCTAACAGTGAGTACTTACCCAGTCAGTCAGTCGCTCGCTCAGTCCGTCGGTCGGTCGGCCGGCGTAGCCACCTTCGGGATCGACACCCGAGCGGTGGCGTCTTCCGGGGAAGCGGCCGCACGCCGCACCCATGATCTTATTAAAAACGGAAGAAAAAACCCATGAAAACGGATGAACGTTTTCCCATATTGACTGCAACGATCGCATCCAGATTTCCGCTCACCGCAACTTCTGAAACAGCGGCGGGATACGATCGGCACCGTGGAGATACGTGGTCTTCGGCGCCGACAACGGTGCCGCTGACATCGTTTGTATAATACCTCGTGAAGCATCCAAGTAGCGGGCTAGATGGGACGCGGGTCAGCTCGGGTCGGAATATTACGCTGCCGCTTCTTTTTTCACTTCTCAGTAGCATTTAATACGATTGCGTAACGCTCAACTAGCAGCTAGACAGGCTGACATGAGCCAAGTAGACGACGAGGATGCCGACGGATACACCCATAAACCCCCTAAACAGTGTAGACGGGAATAGGAAAAAATACCGTGAAGGAGACGTCCCTCGCGCGCGCCGGAACACTTATCGGGATGCTGTCTCGTCCCGGAAGCCACTCATGGAAGAAGCCGCCACGCTATGAGAAATGGCGCGTTGTCACCAATCGCTAAGCACAGCAAATTCATAACATCAGCAATTTAAAATAAAAGCAACGTCAACAACGGAACAAAAAAAAATGTCGTGCCTCAGACAGTCGACGACGACGGATAGACAAACCCTCGCAAAGCTCCGTAACATGGAGCAGATGCTTGCCGCGCGTGGAAACACGCGGCCGCTTCCTTCGGCCGATATCGCTTTCATGCTATAATTTGTGCGCAATCTATCCCAGAGGATAAAGGCCGAGAGCCGGCATGTGTCATGACGGCTTACCGTAACCGATTCCGTCTCACATGCGAGAGAAAATAAAAGTCTGCCTCTGCCTCTGGCCTGCTTGCTTGCTATGAGGAAATCAGGTAGAGGCGCCCTAGCGTTTGTTTAAGAAACCTTCGGTCGCTCCTCAGTGCGTGGAAAATGAACGAGTGCATCTGGAGACGTCGCGACATCTTTGTCGACGTCGCCTTCGCTGTTTCTTGAGCGAATTTGTTTTCTTTTGCACCGATCGGTTGCCCAGACGGCCGGCCGCTTAGTTCAAGAGGGAAAGCGCTGTCCAACTTCGAATTGTGGGTTACGTCTGTACGATGCGTCCTGCTTCGGTTTCTATGTCTGCACACTTGAAAATCACTTTGTCATTGTAGTAGTCCTCGTCATCCACCTGCGTAGCGCTGTTAGTTCGGCCGGAAATGATTGGCTAGGAAAAGTTTGTCTGACTGGAAACTAAACTATCGCTTATTCCATGTTTGTGTCCGTGTTCTCGGGCTTGGATCCGCTGTTGTCGTCCGCGGTCCGTGAACGGTGGGCCACTTTTCATCGTTCGACGACGACTTCAAATAATTCGAAACCGAAGAAAAACAAGCGGTGGGACGGAAGGCGTGCGCATGAAAGCCCCTAAAATCGCACATGATACCTTTCGTCTTCTCAAGATATGAATCCTCATCGGGGATCAGATACAGATCATTGTTGATTTTCTATTGTCGATCGCTCTTGTGTTTATACACCGACGCCGACGAGGGATCTAGACACCGACCGACTCACATCGGTCATAACAGCTGACTATGTCGATCTGGAGACATGGTAGCGCAACATCGCGAATCGTAGCCGCCCGAGAGAAAATTAGGGCTTATCCGAAGCTGATACCGTCGAACTCGATCTCCTACTAGATTTCTCCACCTGATGGAATAATAATGAGGATGGAAACGAAAATCTGCATGCGAGAAACGTCCAAGATCTACAACCAATCCGGCTATATCGGTACATCTTGGTCTATTCTTGCGCTAATTTTTTTGTAAATTTCATAATAACCGTGAGGACAGCCGTAATAATTATAATTCACCCACTCAGGAATAACTCACAGTAACGCGTGCCAACAACGCGGAATTCTCATGCTCAACACGAGTCGATCGGTCAGCGATATCCTGCGGGCTCAAGTCGACTGGAAACAAAAGAAATAGAGAAACAGATGACCATTAATGCAAATGAGGTGAAATTGGAGCCGAATCTCCCGCTTCCAGAACTCCACTCTTTGCTCCCTCCCCCGCGGTGAAAACGATCTATATATAGGTAATTAAGAATCCACCTGTGAGCTGAGGAATGAAAATCGAAAGAGGTATTCCAACGAAGTTCGACTGGCTCCCGAGAAACACGCGTTGCAAGGTTCTCCGCCAATTTCTTCCATGGAGCCGATAGTCCGTCCTTGCAGTGTTATTCCCGCCGATGCTACACGATCGCGACCGGCTCAGACCCGAGGCAGACAACGCGTATCGGATCAGTGAATTATGCATCCGCAATCCCATTTGAGGCGTTGGACGCCTCTCATCTCATCCTTGTTCCGGAACTGCCAATGATTAAGATCGATGAGCTCTCGTGGGGGAAAAGACGCATCCGAAGCGCGTTTAAATCAAGTCATTACATACTGTCATCCGACGGAGATTCGGGCAGATCGGCGTAGATTGATCTTAGCTGCGCGTCCGCTCGAACGGCTTGCTCAGTAAACGGTTTTCACTTGACTCTATTGTTGAGGGGCTCTGAATAGATTCCTTCGTGACTCCCATTCTTCTGCAGTGCCTGCCGCCGCGGCTCCTGACGATGTGTGACTACTGCTGCATTCATTCGAAGATTCATCCGATTCGAATCGACAGCAATCTCCGCTGACGAAACCACCGTCGATGTATCCGCATATTCACTTAACGGCTCCGTTCGTCCGTCAATGAGCTCGACGGTCGTGATGGTCCTCTCAAAGACCATCTGTCCGTCCATTTACGCATCCATCACTCCCTGGCGACGGTCGACCGTACTCGGTACGGAGCTTCATTGTGAGTCTCATGCTTGATCCGCATCGATTGAGAAATCGATGTTCCCAACGACTGACATGTTGCATTGTTGGCTCGTCCCGATATGTGGGAAAGAATATTAATCGGCCATGTGGTCGTATGCCACCACAACAATGCTCACTTTCTTGGTCGAGATCCGCGATTGGGCCGATCCGAACGTCTTTCCGTCGCTTTATTTGTTTCGCGTTGTTGTCTTCGGCGCTTCTGCGGCTCTTCTCAGGATCGTTGATGTCGACTGAACGAGATCGAATCTAGAAGAAAGTCGAGTTACGTCAGCCGGTTCAAGGGTGAGCGGCTGCTTCGGGAATCGTTGTCGTCGTCATCGGCGGCGACAGAAAGCGTGGGCGGCTTACTATATCGCCGCATTGTTTACGTACACCCGCTCCATTGACACACGCAAGTCATCGGTAGTCGGGACAGCCCTCCGAGCAGCCTGGCAGACGGGACCGAGCGACGTCGACGACGGCATCGGGCTTCGCAATCCGATCGGAGCCTTTTTCCACGAGCGACGTGCCTCGCTTGGGCGCATCCTTTTGTACGTACTCGAATTGAGAAGCGCATCTAGCGAAGAGCCCTCAGTTATGTGGGACATGTTGAATGCTGGGAGCTCTGGAAGTCTGAGCCGTAGGGAATAATTCCGTGAGGAGAGCGTGTCTTGTCAGGAATCTCTGTCGGTGGGAACTCTCTCGACATCTTAGCTGATGAGTCTCGAACTGCAGACATGATGAAGGGGGATCGGATCGACGGTCGTCTTCCATCTTCGGCCGAATCGACGATGTCGAGAGCGTCACAGAATCATAAGTCATAAGTTACCTGGGGACATCGATGTATGGCCAGATGGGAACGGCTCGCCGGACGGGAGCGTTTACGATAGAGAAAAATAGATAGGTATCGCATATCGATTCTTACGATCGCATAGACACCGAATTTCACAACGATTTGCCGAACGTCACCGAAACTCTCGAGAACAAATTCCCCGACGATAGTCAGCCGCGGTCGCTCCCGACGACTGCTATCGACGATTTGGCTCGAGTTGGAAGGCACAAAGACCAATTCATTTTTAGTGACCCCCGATTCCTTCCTTCCGTATCTTACGCAAATTCTCGGAAACTACTGCAAATCCGATCAATGCTTCCTTTTCCTCCGTTTTCCTCCCCGTTTCGCCGAATACGATAACGACGGAAGCTTTGGGTGTTCTCAGACTGGTCGGGTGACGAACGTCTTGAACAGATGCCAAAAAAACGGGGAGGGTCTTCTTGGCAAAGCGGGGTACGGGGGATCAGGCAACATCGAATCGGGTTGGGAATCCACTGTTGCGCAACGTCAATGCTGGTGAAAGAAGGCCTGTTGGATCAATTTTTTCTTTGAGGAAACGTCCCAGTACGCCACCCTCTGACATGTGGCTAATGCCTCTGTTGCCATTTTTAATACGACTGAAGTAAAGTGCCGTCGCCGACAGCGACCGAAGAGTGCCGCGACGTCATATTGTCACATTATTTATATTCGCCATTGTCCCAACCAGAGGCGGGGTCGTTGGTCGCCTCTTGGAGCTCTTGATGCGCGAAGTACTTTAGTTATTTCTTCGCTCGTCTTCCGATGCCGCACTTTTCTTATTCATGGGATGGATTGATTCCTGATTACTTCCAAATGGAAATTCATTCATGAAGTGATGACGAACGCGGTCCGAATACCTAAGGAACGCATTACGTCATCCTCGGCGTAAGTGGAGCTGCTTGATCACAGTCGATCCATGTGGATCGGATCGCATTGGGAAATCCCACAGCTCATGTATTTGGATGTACGAGCGCAACCGCGATCCACTCGTTCTACTCCTCTGTGGCTGTCGGAGGTTCCCGAGCCGGACAGAGGTAGATTCCGCGAAGGAGAAGCCGCGGGATGACGTGGACAGCCACAGACCAGCGGGAGAAAACGCCCTCGAATCTCCGGATCCTAGAATCTCGAATCTAGAATGATTGTGAGAACTGAAAACGATGTTCGAATATCTCTCGTATGATTTCTGGTTCGGTCCGAAACTGATCAAAACTCGATCCGAATACAAAGAATATCTCGCGAAACAGAAGGAGGAGTTCAACAAGAGGCTCACGAACGAGAAATGTCCGGAGACGAGGCTCAAGAAATTCGAGTTCACAGGCTTTATTCATACAACCCTATTTGGCTCATTGGTCGAGGCTCGTCGGAGGAAGAAAGACAGGAAGTTTTTCGTGAGAATTGAGGAAAAATTCGAGATTGTCTACCAAATGGGCAAGCTCGAGTGGCAAATGTCCATGGCCCAGGTGAAGAAAATACACCGCGCTGTGCGGTCCAACTTCATCGCACACTTGCTCTACACAATTCAAGACTCGAAGAATCTCTATCTTCTGACCGAGCACGCACCATACGGAAGTCTTCTCCACGCCATGGCCTCGAATCAAGACTATTTCTCAGAGGACGACATAAAGTTTTGCGCGGCCCAAATCGTCCTGGCTTTTGAATATTTACACACGTGTGAAATCTTGTACCGCGCTTTGTCGCTGAAGAGCGTATTCATATTTGCCGATGGTTACATCAAATTGTGTGATTTCACTGCGGCAAAACAAACGACCAAGACTACACGATCGGATGTTGGAATTGGTGGTTACCGGCCGCCAGAAGTTTTCGGCAACCGGTGGTACTATACCGGATTCGACTGGTGGAGCCTAGGGATCCTCATCTTCCATCTGTACTACGAAGACTTCCCGTTCGATCTCAAAGGGGACGACTACGACCACGATAAACGGGCGATTTTCAAGAACCCGCTGGAATTCTACGACGAAGAACGAGGCTCAACTCAATCGTGTGACCTGTTGACAGGTTTGCTCCAGAAAGATCAAAATAATCGACTCGGCGTATGGGGAACAGGAGTCCTGGAAGTAAAGAAACATCCCTGGTTCAGGGATGTCGACTTCCTGCGGATATTCAGTAAAAGGATCAGAAGTCCGCTCAAACTAGTTCCTCTGAAAACAGAGCCGATCGACGACTTGTCGTCCCTGATTCCGACCAAGGAGATAGACGACAAGTACCTCTCCCGCTTTCGCGATTTCTGATCATACCGAAGTGGATCGGGATGTTGTGATTCCGTCGATTAAAATTTTCGCGGCATGTGATACCCAACAGTCGTTTCGAATAGTCATGTGCAATGAGGTCAATGGCGAAAGCCTTCGGAGGCTCCGTTCATATCTCTCGATAAGAGGACAAGTGTTCGAGGGAGTCGCGGGCGGGAGACGCCTCTATGGAGGGTCGAATGACGACAATCGCATGCCGAAGTTCGAGCAGACGATACGAATAAAATAATCAGTTTTCCAAGAATCCTCCGGTAGCTTGGTCATTGCGATTAGGTTCAATAATAGTTCTCACAAAGTTCTCGGCGTTCGAGCGGAATTGACTGCATAAGCGGGAGATCCCTGGCTTACATAACATATGTGGTTGTGTTGATGATCATATGAGTCAGCAATGCTGAACTCTCTCCGAAGCATCGCACAACCATACCGTGCGGTCTCGGCATTACCGCATTCCCTGTATGAAAAAGTCGTCTATTTTCCAATCCCCTCGAACCTCGTCCGTCTATTAGAGGGTGCCCTTTTAATAGAGGGTGCCCGTCTGTATCTCGATCTCTACGTAGGCGTCTTTCTGATTGGGACGCCTCCATCATAGAGAAAATACGGTATATACCTACGGTATACGATATACGGTATATATACAGAGTGTCTCTTTGCCTATATAGATCGCTTTCTATTTGCCCGAAAATCCTTGCGTTCTCAGTGCAGGAGGTTTCCCAGGAACATTCCAAGTGGGTCAGGGTGGGGAGATAGTCTCTGTGTGTTTTCTCTGTTTTGTGTAATCTGTCAAAGCGAGCTACTCATTCGTAGGGAAAACTTTCACTCGTAGGAGCTTCCTTATCGTCCTCAGTGAAAAACCCATCCTGCCGAAAATTTATACCGACAGAACATGGTTCAAGTCGACCGATGGGAATTCCATTCGCTTCTCAGCCAGTACAAGTCTCACGAATATTTCGGAAACAGCCCGCCACCCCGACGGGTAAAACCCACAAAGAAGAGCCCAACGATTCAAAAAGTTGGAATTTTGCTTTATTTTCCTCCGTTCCAGACTCTGGTGAGTATTAGTTGTAATGTAATATTTCGCACAAAGTTCTCAGCCGGAGCAACGACTTCCGATTCTCAGCATCGGCGGCCACCGCGATCGCCGCTAGCTGAAGATGCTGAGAACAACCGTCAAGCTCTCCAGTCAGACAATCGGATGGCCAATTGGATAGTCGGTCATTCCCTCAGTCAGTCAGTCAGACACATTCCGAGATGTTCGGGGGAAAATGTTGCGCAATAAGTCCAAGCAGCTTGATTAGCTCCTCATCTATTTAAATAGAGCGGTAGAAACGCCGCCGCCACCACCGCCGCCATCGGCATCGCGAAGGCTGACGACGGCATTCTTCTTGTTCTTTTCTTTCAGTTTCCTCTCCGATCGCGAGTGAGCGAAACATAGAGAACCGCCGACGACGTCCGCTCGGTCAACCGGCCGACGCCCGTTGTTCTCGGGGAGCGCGAAAAGGTGGGAGAAGGGAAGGTGTGCGGAAGTCTTCGGAAACGTTCCGGCGTGATAAAATCAGAGTTCGAGAAATTGTCTGAGAATACATCCGATTGAGGCATGAAGATTTTATCGTTTGCGTAATTACTGTCGTCATCAATGACGAGAATCACGCTCGCGATGATGACGGGAGCGATGATTGAGATGTCGATGGAGACGAAAACAGCAAAACACGACGACCGTCGGAGAATTTGGACGAAATAATATTCGTTTCGACCGCGGGACGAATATCTCAATGATTCCTGCGGGACACGACGCGATGACTAGACGAATGTATGGAGGCGCCAGCAACTCGGACGATGATCCTGAGTGACATAAATCCATCACGCTCGAGTCCCGGAAGGGAGGGGAGCAATTGGAAGCCATAAGGAAAGTTTCTTGATGCTCGATAGGGACAAGAAGTCTTCTGTTGTGTGCACGCGTGTTCCTCTGCTCACCTGGAGTGGCGGCGGCTCTTCTTGACCGCGGCTTTAACTCGCGGATTCTGCCTCCGTTGATATTGTCGCCCGCGATTCTCTATTTCTGTCTTCTTTTACCGGTCGTGTTCACTATTTCAAACAACTAGTAGAACAACTTCCAGCCGTTGTCAGGAATCATCGGATATATCACTCCGAAAGAGGAGAACGGCCCGGAGAAGGCACCGTGGAAATTCACGAATGGGCATGCCTGTAGAACTCTGGGAAACGGAAATCATAATAAATCTCTCCATGATTTTCCGCCGGAGTCGCCCGATGACACGCCGACGGTTCGGAATATCCGGAGCGGACGCTAAACTGAAGCTAACCTCGGAAGCTCGGTTCCGATGCGTCGTGAAACTTCCATCGGGCTTCCGAACTTTTTCACTCTTGGGCTCGAGCTGGGGCCTTGGGCTTCTTCGGATAACTCTTGCCTCCTGATGAAGAGCGTATGGGGTCAACTGGGGTAATGCCCGCCTTGGGGAAATAATTTTCGATGCATACTCGATTAATTAGGTGAAGCTGTTTTTTTCGATTCTTACGGGAACGAATGAAGTTTATCGATCTTCGAGCGCATGGCGGGTAGGACTGACGTACAGATTGCTCCAGAATTCGGCAAGGCTCGGCTGATTCACTTCAGCAAGTGGATCGCGGTCCGACAGAAAGTGAGAACGTCTTCCAGAAATGGATTCCGCATATAATAAAGCACCCAACGTCACGTACTGAGCGTCCATCGGTGATAGGCATACGATCACTCGGGAACGGATGTCCGAAACGGGTGGGGTACCGGAATCGGCGGCGGGAGCAGCCCGTGAACAAGTCAAACAAGATGAAGTCAGAAGAATACCTGCGACAGTGGATCTTCTGCACGGTCCACTCCTTCGGTGGTTGTTGGTCGAGGCAACGACGCACCTTGCTGATGGACAACAATGCGGATGGATGCTCCACAGTCCATGTGGGCATTCTACAGGCTCACACGAGAGCGGGCCAATACCTATCCGGTCGAATGAACGGAGGAACATTTACCCACAGAAGAAGCTCGCGATGGATAGATAGTGGACGGCGGATGGCCGATCGAGCGTCAGACCGAGCGATCGTCCCGCGGACCAGCTCGGCAGATGCACTGACCACTCCTGGAATAGATATTGGCGGCTACAACAATTTTAATCGGAGCGAATCGTGTGTGTTCAAGAAGGTACGCACGTACGCACACATATACGCTTCTACGAATTCATACGGAAGGCAGAAAATTACTATCATAAACTGCCGCCGTCGCGGGCGACGTTATCGACGACCACTCCGTCAATGACGGCAGGAACGAGAGCGATGGGAAGAGGTTTCACGACGACAATTCGATCAACGGTTATGGCGTCACCAGGCTCTGATTTCCTCGTCGAGCATCTATGAGAACGCCGGCATTGTTCGGATGTGATCACGGACAGACGAAGAAAACCGCGACAGAAAGTCATCCGAAACTGCCTCGAATTCTGTTATGCTCCAAGTAGACGGACACATCTGAAGCACTCCTAGAATATTGTGCTCCCTCTCGCTTTCGGATCCGGTCCGACTACCGTTTGTGAGATATGTATGGTCGTCCGTTTGTCAGCCGCCGAATCGGATCGTTTCTTCGCTGGCTGCCCGGTTGCCTGAGCGAGCCGACGGCTTTCTTCAATAAACGTTGTGTCGGGCGTCCGGCAAGCCCATTCGTTTATTCGGCACTTTCTCATCATGAACTCATCGGGGGAAAAACCTGCGGAAGTTCTGATAGATGGTATTCCAGGCCGGTTCATCGATGCGAATACTAGGTACTTCTATCACCGGGGGAATTTGCAGGAAACAGATCAAAATTATCAACGGTTCATTCCGCTGCTCAATCTGAGGTCCCGTTGTCAAGAAGCTTCCTGCAAAAAAAACCGGCGAAAACGAACATACCGACGGCCGTAGATTCGATTAAGCTGATTAATGCAGATTCAGTGGTTGAAATGTGGATCTCATGCGAATCATTTCGACATCGATGAAGTATACCATTTATCTGCGCGTAGGTTTCCGGCACAATTCTGTATGATGAACCGCTTCCCTTGACGGAAAAACATGCACGAGAAGACGCCTGATTCCCAATAAGTGAGTGGCTCCCTCCATGCCCTGACAATCTTCTTCAATTCCCAGCCAGGTGTCTCAAAACTTGATATTCTGAAGGGATAGGTTCGCAAATTCCGTTCGCTTAAGTTCAGAATCACTCGGCGTCTCTGATCATGTTTATCTTCGACGAACTCCGAGCCTTCGAGAAATAAATCGGAAGATCGATCCTGTCGTCTCAAAAACCTGGAAAGTATGGGTGGCACTGGAAATCCCATGAACGACAAGGATATTACGTTGGTGAGAGAATCCAGGGAATGAAATACCCTTCTCAAGCCACATGGAGTAATTCTCGATCGATTTTCCAGCGCTTCGAATCCGCGACGATAATGTTAGCAATGCCGCCTCTAACTATGAGTCTGGCTGAAACAAGGAGGAACGATATCGCGGAGCTGGCCTGCAAACACTAGATTGCGTACGAAGTCGACAATTTTCTTCCTTGGTCTCATGGTTTTCCGGAATTTCGTATGATATGTGTGAGAGGGTTCAGCCTCAATCCGCAGAGGCTTCATGGAGGAAAGGCATTTTCCAGTTCATAGAGAGGTGACATTTACATCCCCCGTGATTCCGACCCTTGTCGCATCATTGTCTTGGATTCGAATGAGGAGCATATGGAGGAATGGGGAAAGACCTCTGAAACCCGGAGCGCAGAAGTGCGAACGATTCCCTTCCGATTCAAGAAGTTAAACACTGGACCAAGCTGTCAGAGATCGGCGTGAGTCGATCCTTGGGTCGATTCTTCTTCCCAGTGCTCACTTGGGATCCATAACATTCGCGATGTGCTTCGTTGAAATGGATTCTTTCAGTCCAAAGGTCGTCTTCGAAATCCTCCGCAAACCTTGCCTGTTCCGAACGCTCCGTAAGTCGTTCAGCGCTACAAGGTTCCAGTCTTCATGAGAGTCGGAGGGTCGCGATCCGGCCGACTGTAACAAATGCTCGAATCGCCGCAAGCAGCGTCTCGTTTCGAAAATAAGGAATACGGGACCGTGAGTGTTGTTCAGTCATTGAGCGATTTTTGAACATATCGATCCGATCTGCTCCATCGGGAAGAAGAGTATTTACGGTGGAGTTTTCCGCCGAACAACTGCAATTCGATATGCCAGGGCACATCGATCATAGTAGAATGTTTTTGAATATTCTTTGAGAGTTCCTTCGATGATGCAACTTCTCATCCACAATGTCATTGATTCAATAGCCTCCCGTCGTCCTTATGTTTATCGAAGTACCTATATATTCTTCGAAGAGGGTCTCATGAGGAATTTTCATCTTGCCCCCTGAAAAACCGCTTCGGGCGTCCTCATTATGAGATTATCCTCAGATTATAGGGCTCCATAGGGGTTGGGCGGTGTCGACGACTGAGAGAGTGGCAACGAGCGCTAGGATTCGGGCATCCGCCGATGGCTTATATCAGGAACCCGTTGACAGAAATCCTAGCGGACCATTGATTCACTGGCTACAAAAAGACAGTTTCCCGGTCAAACATTGTGGAGAATCGGAAAAACAATTGTCTTCCGAAACGCGGTGATTCCACTCCGGTGGGACCTTGTACAGCTCGCAGGTTTCCATGTTTTCAGCGCCCGCCATTTCCCAATACACTTGGATAAAACTGTCGTCCACTGCGAGTCAGATACGCTATCATTCCGCATATATCATACTTCTCCAAGTGAATCATAGGACTCAGTTGTTGTGTCCGAAGAGGGGGCAGGAGTCGCGTTGCTAAACGATGGTCCCACCGGTCGGTCTAGCGAACTATGTTTGGATGCCGCCCAGATCGCCTGATTCTTGCCCAATGCGACCCTACAATGTCAGTCTCGGTGCGTCCAACATGTCATTCCGTCAGCAATACAAACGGATAAAAAGTTGCGGAGTGTCTCGAGAACCCAAAGTTTCCTGGCCAGACTGGCGCCCCCATGGGAGTTCACCGGTTTGGTCATTCGCCTCTACGTCGAAATGTCGAGTTGATCGCTCATATAATTTCCGAGGCAAACGGCTGACCGTGGCTTACGCAAAGGCGCGGGCATTCGGATTTCCGTGCATCGAGAATCCGAATGCATCACTGCCGGCGGTAGGGTACCTTCTGTACTATTCGGAGACTTGGAATTACAGAACTTTCCGGAGAATTCGATCGAGCGGTTTTTCCTCCTATGAAATGCGTTCTTCTTTGCTCTTTGAGCCGATTACCTCCGAATTACAGGCCCTGTGGTCTTTGCGCGCGTTTTCTTTCTCGCACGGCCTGGGTCACTGGAGGCAAGCCGCTATCAACTATGTACGTACAAAACTATGAACAGATTGCCGTCGTTTCGCTAATCTCTTCATGTTCGTATGGGCTTCCGAAGCGAACTCGTCGCGATAAGATCACGGTCATTTTTCGCGCCTAGTTATCCATGCCGTCCGTGGCAGGAACGCACGGTATTCAGGCTGTTCCGGAATGCCGGATGATAGAATTCCGGTCTGCTAGCTTCGCGGGAGGGAAAGGAAGCGCGCGGATGTTTCGCGCTCTTCTGTCCAGAAGTGTCATTCTTATATTTCTGAAACACGTGGGATGATGGAATTGTGTTTCGCAGCTGCTGCTGCCTTTTCGCTCCCCGTCGTCGACTTCATCGTCCACCTCCTCCTCCCCCTCACACAGAACGGAATGGATTCTTCTGACAGCCGTTGATTGATCAGTGAGTGTTTTCCGGTCTACGTGGACGAGATTTTATTTCGCTTCGATTGCCATCCATCAGTAACCAGGATGGACTTCGCCAGCCGCCAGCCGCCAGCGGCCGACTCGCTGCGGTGGAGAAGTAGGGCCGACTACGACCCGGAACTCTCCGATACGGTTAGAGTTCAACGTGAGACAAACGAGAAAATGTGGGCTCGATTTGGAGTGGAAAACGATGGAACTTCTTCAATCCGCATTGATCCCAATCATTGGAGATCGATCACGATCGATACTGATGGATTAGGACTCTTTTTCCTATCGATGAGTGAGCTCTGGAATTCCGAGCGATCCCGCCGCTACGCAAAGGTCTGATCGTGCTTATCAGATCGTATGCATCGCGTCGATCCTTGACTTTGGGAGTCGGACTCTGTCTCGCCGATGAAAGTAGCTGGTCCCCTTTCGAATGGCGTTTTGCGCGGGAAAATGCTGTGGATCTTCACGAGTTCGGTGATTCTGAAAGATTTTTTGCAGCTGATGTCGGAGAGGGTGTCACACACCATACGGAGATTCCTGCGACGAACCACTCGAATCGAAACGCAGGAGGCCACGTCGGAAACGTCAGTCCATCTATTCTTCGCGGAGTCCGCTAAGAAAAGGAACCTGTTGACAGCTGACATATCCTTCGGGGACGCCCTGACGCAAGGGTCCCCGAGAGATGACGGAAAGGGAGAGGGAAGCGCGAATTCGTCGCTCAAAGCGTAATCTGCCCCGACTCTGGGTTCACCGTCGAAATAGAACGTTTCTGAGACCTTGCCGAACCCATACCCCGCAACTCGTTTGGCTGCTTCTGCCTTCAAATCTCTTAATAGCCGGATGTGGAAACGAATTTTAGCGGTCGGGAGCATCCGCACACGCCGCTTCTCCAGGGATTTCACACCCGCCACACCCCTCATCTGGAATCGATGACTTCCCTCATTCGAGACCGCCGTGAAATCGGAGTCGATCATGATCATTACGTGAACATGTACATATACCTATGAATACACATATGAAACACAGTATGGCATAGACCTATATGTAGTAGGGAAGAGACGGAAATTCGGAAGGAATGAAATTTTTTTATGATGGAGCCGAATGGAAATACGTGAATATTGAGAGGGCGAAGGGCCGTACACGCCAATCGTGATACGGAGAAAGAATTTAGTACCTCCTTCGGTCGTTTCTGTCCCTGGATCGTCTTCGTGGTGATCTTCTCTTTGGAGATCTAGAGCGACTGCGGTCCTGGGAGAAATAGCCTGCAAGCATGATGAAGTAAGGGGTTAGAAAACACTGATAACGGCATCCATACTGCAGGCGGAGAAATTCACCGAGAGGCGATACTCACGTCCTCCGCCGACTCCCGCTCCGCCTCTTTTCCGACCGTAAAGCTCTTTGCGTAGTTCTCTTGAAATCGGACGCAGGTGCATGAAGTTGCAGAATCCACTCCTGGTGCACTCCCTAGAAAACGTATGGATTTCAGTGATGGAGCCGTAGCGACTCGGAAACAGGGGATACCACCTCGCCACTCGCGGAATCATCAACCCTGGAGTCAGAAAAGAGAGCAAGAGGCTCGAGTCCCATGGGGGAAACTAGCAGAAGATCACGGCGATAGGAATGGAGAGTGCGAAGTGGCATCCCAGCTCGGTGATTAGATTAGTCAGTTCCTGACCCACATCCACGTCACAAGACTGAAGGATTCAACATGGAACGTTGATGCAATTGAGGAGTAGTAGATCGGGTCAAGAGTGTTTCCCTTCCCTCTAGGGTGAAGGGGACTTACATAATACAGAAATCTCTCCGCTCGAAGATAACCTAAAGAAATCGTCGAGGTTCTCAAGAAATTACGACAGGGGAAATTGAAAAGTCGTTCACACCGTTCGGCATGGGGCACGGGATCGAGGCGAAAATTTATCCGCGAAAGTTTCCCGAACACCATCCTCGAGCCGAGGAGGCTCTCAGGGAAATATCAACGTCGGCTGATGCACTGATTGGTCGTACGCACAATATTGAATTACCTAATTTCAGAAAACAGGGATTTCGATGATTTTCGAAAGTACAAAGAGATACATGCTGTATCAAACTTGTCTGTATCTGAAAGAGAGGCTGAAACGACACCGGAGAGAAGATCGAAAAGGAATCACTGGGCTCGCCTACACTTTGGGTTTCAATCTCCTGAAAATAACGCCGAACCCTGAAAGCCTCCAACTGAAATTCAATCGAAATCCTGCAAATCATCGACCCGTTTGAGAGGGTTCACTTTTCAAAGAGGAGGATCAAAGAGCTCAAAACGAAATCGGCGGCGATCGCTTAGGCCTCTGAAGGTGATGTTTGAAACCGCTGTTCGACGCTGTTGACGAGCTTCACGTCACGAAACCAGCCCTAGAGCTGAAACAGTCAACTCTGTTTAAATCTCTTCTCACATGGAAAGCAACTCTCTACCGAACGACACATAGGCTCGTTGTCCGTCTGTTCGGGACGCTTACTCCTATTCATAATTCGATACCCAATGGAGCCCTCCATGAGTCAGTCATCGAATCGGAAGTCACGAACCGCCGAGATACGACCGGCCAACGGTCTTTCTACCTATCTGAGACCGGGGCGAGTGTGTCCATCTTTGAGGTCACGACAAAGTTCAGAGCGAGAGACGGACAACTGGGTTCCGTCAAGTCGATCGGATTGATTCAGTTACGAAAGAGCGCTCGGACTCCTGGAAGACTCACCCCATTTCGTACTGCCGGCAGCAAGCCTCTCTGAAATCAGTGACCGGCGATAGCTCCGCGACAACTGGACGTCCTGCGAACCATCGGTTGTTCAGTTCCTTGACGGCCTTCTCGGCGTCGTCCTCTTTGCGGAACTGGAGGGGAGAAAGCTCTTTAGACAAACGGTAGAAAGGAGTGGTTCTGCCATTGGAGACATAGTGAGCTCTGCAGAGGAAACCTCGACGACGAGCAATCTCAGTCTACGCAGATTCAATGAGGCAGCGCTCTCAACTCACTTTGACGTAGACGTTGCCTACGAGATGGTCTCCCAAATTGTCACAGACGTTCATCTCTTCGATTTCTCCGTATTTGTCTTCGAGCTCTACGAAGACGTCTTCGAAGAAGTTATCGAAGTGCTCCTGCATCTCTTCTTCAGTCATGTTAGTGTGTGATCCATCGGCGGTTTGGGCCGTGTTCTGGGGATTATGGTACAGGTTCTGGAGGAGAATAGTCTGCGAGAAAGTAGGCTTGTTGTGGATACGCGAGCAGCGGTCGCCGTGTCGGCACGCTCCAATTTTGAAGTAGAAAGAGCAGTTGACTCTGAAAGGAATGTACTAGGTTGAGCTTACTCTGACGGGGTGGGCGAGGTCGGCGGAGAACATGATAGAATTCGAATCTCTGAGCATAGATCGAGCTCCCGTACGACTGGTCTCCAGGGACGAGAAATTCTGCGGGAATGCAGCGACGAAGACTCTCGGATATGCATTGCTTCACGCGAGCGACACAGCCGCTCGGTCCGACAAAGCTCTGTGAACTCACTTGTCCTTTTCGGTTCCGAAAATTGAAGCCAAGTATTCTGCCATTTTCGGTGGTTCTTCAAATGTCGGTTTGAGCGTGAAGATACTAAAAACCGCTGCTGCAAGCTAACTTTCAATCAACTATTTTGCCTTGAACGCACACCTCTGCTTGTTGTTTTGAGTATGTTGATCGGCGCAACAATCGCACTCTTTTGTACCGGCGGCGCGGCGTCGGCTGGGTGTTCGGCGCGCGCCAAAATTCAAAATTGCGACGGGAGAATCGCTATCGGCCACTCTATTATGGAAACGTAAAGCAAATAACGTCAATCAGACACGAAGGATTGAGTTCATCTCATCTTATACCTCACGCAACAATAGTAATAATATACGTATCTCGGGCTCGACCACACAGCCAATCTTCAATGCTGCGTATAAGTGATTGGCTACTGCCTCCGCGGACGGATCTCGGGAGGTTATAATGCCCCGTGACTTCATGCAAAATGCATATATCGCACGAAAATGCAAATCCTGGGCTTTTTCTCCTGAAAATGCATATTCTGGGCTATGAAGCATAATTCTGCATATCGCAGATTTTCCGCGCCGATTCTCGCGGGAATAAGAGCGACGCACAGCTACCCCAGCCAGTTTCGACAAGATTGGGACCTTGGTTGATCGCAACGGTTTATTACGCCGACCTGTTTGGATTCATTCTGGAAGGTTCTGGTCGCCGTGGACGTCAGTGACGCTGCGAGCACCGGAGCGGCTGCTCAATTAGTGAGGGAGCCCTCTGTGAGGGATAATCTCGCTTTTATAAAAGGTCTCACTTCGGAGAGCGTCCGCATGCCATCGAGAAACTGGAAACGAAGGGACTGTCTGTGATAGAATGCGTGAGTATCGAGGCGCCAGTGAGAGTTCTCGAGAAAGGACCCGGTGATGTCGAAGATTCGGTCCGTAGGAAATGCGCTGCGGTTGTGATTCGTATCACGAATTAGCTTCAGCATTCTGAAGGAAATCTCGGACGTACTTCAGGGGGGCAGCCCCGCGGATCGTCTTATTGACCGCGAGCCGCGACCCGTCGGAGATTGCCTGCTCAGAGGAGGTTTGAAGCACCTTCTCAGCGACCCTCGTCAGAGTTTTACGTTTGGAAAGTAAAAGATGCATCTCGTTGTCTACTGTAACCCGTTACTTGAATTTTCAGGGCTTATTTGCATGCATTTTTTGTTTTGATTTTTTAAGGCATGAAGTCACGGGCTCAGATTATAATCCTCGAGAGTCGATCAAGGCTGGGAAAATGGCTTGCCTCGAGGAACTTCCGTCGCAAAATAAGGCCGGCGGCAGAACTTGAGTCATTCCCGTTTTTCGCGCGATCGAAATGGCGTTTCCTCACGGAGCGGAAGCGGCTTCTCATGGAGTGGATTCGAGTTCTTGACGAGCACTTTCCACCCAGACGTCAAAGACGCGCCCCAAACTGAAAATCCCGCGGTAAATCATCATATCTCATATTTCTCATGCGATCTACGAGCCGTCGAATGAAGGCTACCTGAATTCCGCAATTCAATGAACACGCCCGACGGCGACGACGGAAGGCGAGTAGTCAGAGATCACGTCATCAAAAGCGCGCGAAAGGAGCCGCTGCTGGCGACGATATAGTACTGCGGGCGGCCGAGAGAGAGCCTGAAAGTAAACAACGAACAGAATTTGAATGGTTCCGTCGCGAATGGAAGACACTTAAATACTCTCGAAATCGGCAGTTCCATGATGAGCAAGCGACTGTGAGGCGGCCGCGAGTTGCCTCCTCAAGGTGAAGACTCTATGCTCTGTGTTGGTCGAGAATGAAGCTCTCCAACCCTAGACAGTGCTCTGACAGATTGTGAACGGTGTTCGTTATGTTGAATATGTCCTGGAATCCAACCGAGCTGATTGAGAACAGGCATCCTGTCCTCATCTCCAGAATGGGTCGCGAACATTTCTGAGCGAAGTCTTCTCCGTCGAGAAGTCGCGGACAAGTTCGTCAGCCTCCTAGTCGGGCAGTACCGATAGATTCTGAATGTCTCCGCCGAAGTTTCGTCTTGCTCGGAAGACGTCCGGTAGGACGACGAAGAGCAGTGAAGGGGAACACCGGCCTGCGACCCCGGAAAATTATTTCTCCCATTCGGAGTGAGTACAACGATATTAGGGAGTGGGCGCGAAAATTCGCTCCAATGTCCCTGAAAGACACTTATCTGCAAACCTCCCCCTCCGAGCTCTCTAGGGGGCTCCAGATATGGCATTCGGAATTCGGAACAGAATGCATTGCGATGGCTGGTTCGGTTCGAGTTCGAGTGAGAGTTGTCTCTAACATGACGAGCATGTCAAGCTCAATCGGAGTCCGAATCTTGGAAGTGCCCTAGCGATGTTCCATTTCAGAATTTCCCATTCCCGAACGAGATTAAACTCTTCGTCATATAGCCTGACCGATGGATATATGATGTTTGGGAGCTGTCCACATGAAGCCGGAGAGGTGCATGACTCGGAATAGAAGAATATTCTCTCTAGACAGCGGTGCTCAAGCCGAGGTCCCAGATTTAGCGATATCATGTCACTCGTGTCCTTATGATCGAGGTGTATGTGTATGTGCATGACAAATTTCTCCTGGGCACCGCCAGCCAGTGATTGTCCGGGAAAAGAAGGGTATCGTTGGAAAATGGAATGCTTTGTCGCAAGCATAGTCTGACCACGTTGCGAAGAATGTCCTGCCTGTGTCTGCGAAAATAAATCTTGATCCTTCGCTAGCGCATGTCTACGCTAGTGATCCCGAGAATAATCAACTGTTATTCAACCGTCATTTCCTCCCGTTTCACAGGAATATGTCATCTGATGTGGACCGTTTCATCGAACAAGTTCTGACGGATCGTACGTTCTATGTTCTCACGACGCCGAATAACTCGCCGCTGGAAAACTCCTTCGACCTAATCCTCTCGGTCCTCCAGGTCAACTTGAGTTTCAGCGGCCAGGCTGTTGTAGTCCCTTACGATGGATGCGTTATCATTGAGCTGTCGCGAGAGTTGAAACCGTTCGTCATTGTACTTTACGAAGGTGAAAAATATAGCGCACTGCTGATACAGAGCGATTTTCCCAACCAAGAGGACTTGATTGAACTCTTGAATCAATGCATGTTGACCTTTTGGACGCCGGTGGAGCTTGACTCATTTCTACTAAGCGGGATCTTGATAGCTTTCACGGATGGATCTTTGGAAGCCACAGCAAATTACAAGAACGAATATGTTCGTATCTCAATGACGATAGAAAACATCTTTGTAGAACGGGTCCTTCTCAGACTTCATCGCGACGATCACCTTGAGATGGGTCTCCGATTACTGCAGGAAGCCTTGACAACCCACCTGAAAACCCTCCATCTCGATCTACCGCCCTTGCAACGTTTCAAAATCGAGGGTCATATATCAATATCGAAAGACCGTTTCACTCTGAAGTCGGCAAGTGATTCGATCACGTTTGTGAAATTTCTCGCGAATTTCGCGTCAATACGAGGGTCGCCATGATTCAAGACAAGGGAGCTTAAATTCGGCGTGGTGTGCTGAGAGCTTTCAATCAGTGTTCGTTATTGGAGTCACGCTCGTGACGGGTGGAGAGGAAAGGACCAGAATATTTCCTATGGAATAAACTTGTTGAAGCTGATATTCGTATTGAATTTGCGTCTTCGTCTGGGAACATGGTCACCAACTACACGATACCCTTAGTCAGTAACAGATTGATGCACTATCTACTCCCACGGTCGAGAGGAAATCCCGCATGAGAAAGAGGAGTCGAGTGAGGGAATCGGATGAGCTGTACATATCCCTACATCAGAGTTCAGAGTCTACAAAGGGAGGCGTTGTCAGTGATCGAGCCTTGCGCAGAACCCTTCTCTAGATCTTCACCGTATTCCAAAATGCGGCACGGCAATGCGTTGGCCGTCGGGGGCTCCTCATTCTAAACATCACGTATTTTAGAGCATTGCACAGTTTTCCGACTTGAATCCCTCCGGACGTTATGGTCATAGGAAAATCGCATGCGAGGGTCCCACAGAATCGGAGAGAAGTCAGCCTCTCCGGGCGGCTACCATCGCGCGATGAAAATGAACAATCGTGGTGGGAAAACTTAAACTTCCTGGTGGAGATATTGTATGACAAATCTTCAATTATAATGGGTTTCCATCGCCGCTCCATCGAGGTCGGGAGTAGGTCATCATGCGAAGTCGGAGGTTCATCATCGATCCCATGCCGATCACGTCTTCGTCAATCATCTGAATCCCGCCTCTTCCGAGAAAGGCAGACACATGATTTTACTCAGGAGTCCATTTTGGTGTCCCGACGAGAGAATTCGGGTCTTAATAGTCTGGAGCCCTCCTCCCGAAAAAATCGAGAAACCAGATCGAAGAGACGGGAATTCCGACTTTCTTCTGATGCTGTACCGAGCATAATGGAATTCGCCGGTATGCGTAATTGATTACAAATCCCTTCGCAGCTTACGTCCAGAGCGCGTTGCGTCGGTGCAATTTACCGCTTCGCACTGTCGGAATCTGTCGTCGGAGCACCGGGAGCAAAAGTTATTTGCCCTGTTGTCAATCCGATTGATGAATCTGATTACGTAACGCCGGCAGTTGTAACGAACGAACGAACTGATATCCGGTGTGGCATCTTCTGAAGCGTGTAATCATCGGAGATATTCGCGAGCCCAGATGCCTGCATTAAGAGCCGAGCGACCGTTCGATGCGAGTTGAATTGATCAGTGATAAGAATCCGGATTAGGGAAGAATATCCGAATTAAGTCAGTCAAGCCGAGCGGGGCGAAAGGCAACTTTGCAATTAGCACCGGAGTTCCTCGTCTTCACGCTTCGTAGAGCGATAGTGGCCGTTGCTGCTGTTGTTGTTGAGGTGGTGATGTTCGCGGCTGCAAAGGCACTGGCGGTTACGACCACACCTTCAGCGTTGTTACCGTTGCTCGGAGCTTCCCCGTAGTCGGAAGCGCCTTTCCTGGGCTTGAATGTGTCGACATTTCAATTGATCATCCATTGCCCCTTCATTCGAGCATGCATCTCCTCGATTGAGAATAGGTCGCTGCCTCGCTTGTCCGTCCTTTCACGAGTGCGTCCTTTACGGAGACACTTCAGCCCTCGTTGTGACGCTCATGATGGGCTTCTTTGTCGTCTTTTCAATGGGTTTCGACAAACTGACACTGCCCATTGACGCGCTCAGCGCGAGGGTCGGGTTAATCCAATGAAGAAATGTCAACCAACAAAGCGCAAGAGCGACCGGACCCTTCGCCGGCTGCCCGGGTCGTCTGGGCAGGCGGCATTCGAAATTGCGTTCGCTCCACTCAATCGGCTCCATTTTATTGGACTCAACGGAAGCTTTTTCGGTCACCTCAGGCTAACTTTTCGACATCCTAAGCCCATCCCGATTGTGAGAACAGGGAATTCAGTGTCCGAATCCCGGGCTAGACCGTTTCCATGGATTCTGATTGAGAGTTTTCCGTAGATGGATGAAGACCTTGAAGGGATTCCTGCCACTGATCGATCGAAGACATAACTGATGGAGGCTCAAGACGGGAAATTGGTCGTCAGCGGCTCCTCATCGATGATATTCCGAATTCGGGTTCGAATGGGATAGACTCCCGCTCCATTCCGAGGAGCTGAAGCCATAGCATCCACAAAATCGAAGAATCATTCGGAAATAATTCGATTACGCTCTTCGGAAGAAGCTCTCGACCTCCAACTTTTGTTCCCTGCAGCGTTCATCGGAGCAAGTCGTCAGGGATGTTCCGGTGACCGCAGTAAGACGATGCGATGCTGCCACGAGCGATATGGGAGGCGATTTCCCCCACCGCGCATCACGTGTTGACGAAGACCCTTACAAACACAGACCCTCCCCCGCAACGGAGCGACCCGCCGGAGTTATTGATGTAACTGCAGATGACTCCGCAATCAGCTACTGCCACTAGTTCGGACCGAGCAGAGGGCGTGACTTGCCGTGTCGGTGCTCATCATATCTCGACAAAGAAGCGTAGTGTGGTGTTGTCGGTGGAACTCTGACGAGAGAGTCGAGGTGCGGAAGACCTCGCACTTGATTCGTGTACACATTCAAGGATTAACTGCAGCTGATATGGGGACAATCGGAACGGTCAGTCTCACAATGATTCCATTAGTTGAGCATTTGTTTGATTACCGAATCGGGGCCTTCAGTCCTGAAGTTGATTTTGGTCCGGACGAAATTCTCCTCTTTTTGGGGTCATGGTCCGAAGTTCTCGGAAATCGAGGATCCTCTCTCTGTGAAGTCGTAGGATACCTGAAGAAAATCTATTGAGGCGGTTCCTCAGCTCATATCTACACACCATCGCAATATGCTCGAGAGCCATTCATGCCGCCGAAAATCTCCGCTCTCGGCTTCCGCCTCCCGTGGTCAGTGCTGTGCGGATGCGACGATTCGTACTCAGCACGGGCGAACAAATCTATCCCCACATGCCGAAGTGACCTTTAATTCGGGTCACCGCGCAGAAAACGATAGAGGGTTAGAATCGTATCCGGATATTGCGCTGCCTAAAGGTTGCGATACTGGCTTTGAAGAAAGTTCTAAAAAGTCGGCCAAAATCAGCACTTCGAGATGCTGTTTGCGTCACCGCCATTCATTGAAACCAGGAGGAGCTGACGATCCACCGACGGACACGGGGAAGGACGAGCGAACGGAAGCCAATGAAAGACGTGAAAACTCTATTGAAGTTTCTCCACCTCGCTGAGTTTCAATCTAGATGACTGTTCACGCTTTAAGGGTCGACGTCGACGGTGAGAATTCGTCGTTCTTCCTCGCTACTGAGCACGATTTTTGGAGTTGTCGTCGACTTTCACCTCGTTGCGTGTCTCATCCAACGCCGGATCTTACCATTCTAGCGATCGGTAGCTGTCCGAGCTCATTGAAGATTGCCGCCCAATAATTATTAATGCCTTCCGGTTCTCGGATCTGTTTTCCAACGAGACTCAAATCTTGCTCCTCGTTGAGCGGGACAGCAAACATTCCGCGGAATGAAAGCATGCACCGGCGAAGGGATTAGCAATGTGCTGAGTGAATCTTCTTCTCAAGTCTCCCGTCAACCCTTTGCTGCGCAGATCAAAAGGCTGACACTGTCGAGAAGTCGCGTTGAGCAACCAATTTTCTTTGTGTACTTCATGCAATCAGCCATTGGGGTCTTTCATCATTTTCCTTGAGACAATGCGAGGAAAGATTCAGATCAAAGACTCCATAGCAGAGGAGGCATCGGAATCGACTTTAAAAACCTGGGCATCAGCCCTGGTCGAGGATTTGATCGACCCAGGGATCCCCTTCGGTGAAGTGCAAGCTCCGGGCATGGCTCTTCCCGAACCCTTGAGATAATTCACGGTTTCTGATTTTCCGAGATCTCTTCCCATTGACGAGTCCACAGATCCGGTGGCTTAGCTTTTCCGTGGGCGCAGCATTCCCCCGCGAAGCTGCGTATTTTGCTCGGCAGAAAATTGTGCCCTCGATAGGGAATCGAGAAATATGAATTCAGGATATTGGAAATTGAAAAACTAGGCTGAATTCGCGGCAGGCTGCTGTTTCTCGAGTAAAAGTTGCTCTCCCAGATTGAACGCTCACAGCGCTGCTGCGCTAGTGACTCAGTGACCCAAAACGTTCAACCCAACGACATCCTTCCTGTCAGAGGCAAAGCCGTTTTAACAATACCAGTCGCTGCCAGGCCAGTAGCCAGTCCATCCATTCACTCATTCATTCATCTATCGATCGTTCGAGCCGACCAGCGCTTCACTCGTTTGACTGCGTCTTTGTCGGTAGCAACTTCATAGGTGATGGACAGATACTTAACAATCAAATATCAGATTGACAGAATAAGCGTAAAAGCCGGATCGGATGACAAAGTGGTAGTTTCCCTTTTTCCGTCGGATGTTTGCGGGTGCGTTCTGTGCTCCGATCGGGTCGGCACGGGGATCCTTCTTGTGCCTTTGTGCTCGATGTGCGGGTAGTCTCAAGCCGGACCTTTGTGGCTGAAAACTTGCTCGTTGGTAGAAGGAAGCCACGCCACACGATGATCAAAACTTGCCTCGCTCCTCTGGGAGTTCGGAAGGACACAATAAAGTTTTCCGGAAGCTAAAAGCCATTCTCGGCGGAAACTAGATTTATACTCCTTATCGTTAGGTAAGACGTGAGGCTGTTTCGCTCGCTCTCAAAGGGATTCAGGTGGTGGGTATCGGAAATGTTTCGGTATGGGGACGAGGCATTTTGATAGCGAACCAACGTCATGTGATTTTTATTTAAAATTCCATCATCGCAAGTGATCCGACTTCGATAGTTTTCTCTGCTCATTTACGGAACGATAGACGGGGAGGAGCCGTGTGGATATGAGTTCTTGACTCCTCATCGGAGTCGTCACTGAATTTTTTGTGCGAAAATTTGAATTTGCCGACAAATTTCGGCTTGGAGCTCGTCCTCCCGACAGCGGGGATTAGACTTCACATACTGAGCAATCGCCATGAGCGCTTCATTCTGCGAAAAAAAGTATTCCGCTTTAGTGGACCGCATGGCTCCTAAGTGTGATGATGTTCCTTCTCGAGACCCCGGTGCTCATTTCGTTGCTCTACCGCTACTCACTCGGTACTGCTCGGTCGTGTCCAGAGGACCCGATTGAAAGAGTTCCAGCGCTTGATTGGCGAGTCGCAAGCCGACAATCTGTCTGTAGAACTTTTCAGCACCCTCGAAATGGTTCAGGGTGAGATAGAGACCCAGCTAGAGAAGAGAATAATGCATGATAGGGAATGAAGACGCTGAATCGAGAATCATCGATCGGACCGACACTTCAGAGAGTTTCTCGAGCATCCGGAGCCGGTCAATTTACATGCGGTTTCTCTCTGATGATTATTCGGACGGCAAACTCCCCCGTGAACTTCTCCCCTCGATAAATGATATATACTACGTTCTGTTCGTCTTGCAGATTGATCTGGTACATTATTCCATTCTTCAACCATTGACGATTCGAGCGGCGCAAGTTCAGCGAGAGCTCACCTGCTCAGCTATGGCTAGGTTTTCATTAGATGTGATCGTGCTCAAGAAACCTCCGGGCTCGGTCATTCCTTGTAAGAAGTTATCGGCCATCCTCCTCCCTCCGGGCTTGAGGTTCACACTGGCCGCGATGCCTCTTCGAGACTTCAGGGGATGGAAAGAGAAGAACTATTAGATCAGTGCGGGAGCAGCACCTGGATGTCTCCAGAAATGAAATGAATGGGATGAATTTCAGTATGGCACAATGACAGAGGAAGGACACAAACGAAACTTTTGTGCTCCCCATGGAAATGTGATTCCCATTCAAAGCATACCTGAGTCCGCAACGACTTACGGTGCGCACAGATACAGAGTAAACGGGAATATTCTACAGCCGGCGACTTCGGTTCGCTGCCGGGGTCTTGCTACGTACGTAGAGTCTTTCAGGAGACCAGCAATGTTGTATGATTCGGAATAGAAAACATTCCTCCGACCTGACGAATCCTCGAGGTTTGCTCTCGTGCGCTACGTGTATAGTCTCTATCGAGAATTCGAGGTGCGCCCTCTCGCTCCCGGGGCTCTCTCCCCCTGGGGGTTCAAAACTGGAGCGCGACGAGCTGCCAGCCGTCATTCAGGACTCGATGAATCTCCTCGCTTTTTTGAACCACTTTTCAATAGAAGAGTCACCTTCTCCACGGAACTGCGAGAAAATCATGACGAGCGACATCATTAATTTTGATAGTGAACTCCTGTCCCACTTGGGGCGTTTTGTTGTGCTTCAAAATGAAAAGAAAATGGAGCAAAATATGGAACACCGCCACCTGAGGCGACTCCAAGCCAAATAGAGCGGAGTTTTGTTTCCGGCCCGGTTTTCTGTCAACTTGAATTAGTTCTCGTGGGAAAGTCATTAAACAGATAAACCGTCAGCATAAATGAATCCGAGCGGCGGGTGGAGCAAGTATGTGGGGACTTTCTCCCTCCGAATATTTGACGGTCCGAAAAAACTGGAATTCTCTTCTCACGTCCTCTCGCGATTCGTTGCAACGATTCCGAGTCGAGTTCCTGAACAGCGATCGGACATGCCTGTGAGAAATTCCCGATGTTTTTACGTCCATTCCAAAATCAGGGAGCCGGCAACTCAGCCGGCCAGAAACCGTCTGACAGAATGCGACCTGACGTCAAATCCGCTCCACTGTTTTCGCTACCGGTCTAACACAAAACACCGGATGTTCGACCCCTTCAATGTCATCGTCGACCTCCGTTGCTCTGCATTTTAATTGTGTGTAATTTCCATCGACGCCCTCTCGCTGTGCACTCACATACAGTCGGTGGGACAAGCCTTATTGTTATATAACGGGGAAAAGTCCTCTCCCCGCTTGGCTGGTGAGCTCAAGTCTATCAGCATAGGCTCAAATGCCTTCAGTGAGTAGGATGTGAGCGCCACGGGCTGAGCTTTCGTTCGACTGAGCCGGGAATTCTCCCAAAGACACATGCGATAGGACTTCCTGTTCAGCGAACTCCTCGTAGAAGAGCGATTGCACCTTGTGTAATTGGATCGATCTCAGCCAGTGAAATTCGAAGGTGTGTGTGTCAGATCGCGCTCGACTCAGGGTCGTCTCCCGGCGAGCCCCAATCGAGAGTACGCTTTGTGGTGGAGGAGTTTTCCGGTCAACAAGTCCGGCAAGCGAGAGTCCGGTACGCGATACGTGACTGGTTATTATGGTTCGTTCGATCGTAATTATGGTGTCTTTCCAGATGCGTCCGGTCATATACTTGATCCTGGCATCCCTCCTGCTGCAGCCGGCAGTCGCTCAACCCCCAATGACGTTCGGGATGAGGAAGCTCGCCTTTTCGGCGAATCAATTTGGCATTGATCTCTACAGAACGATGCGAAACTCGGAGGGAAACATCGCGTTCTGCCCTTTTTGCATCGATGAATCCCTACTCATGACATTGCTGGGTGCCCAGGGCCAGTCCGCGATGGCTCTGCGTCACGTGCTCTATCTCTGGGGAATGCAACCCCAAGAGCTGCATACAGCATCCCATCAACTTATCACTCATCTGGGAAGTCAGCTCAAATCCGCAATGTACGAAGACTACATGGGCCGATCTGCCAAAACTCTCCGCCGCTTCGCGCGAGCCGCCCGAGCAGAAGAGACCAAAACTCCTCCGGAGAAAGATCGGCCCGCGGTGAAACAGAAACCGAAAGAAGAAGTGAGGAACGATCTCTACAAAAAGTGAGTTCTCCAGAATTGGATGGAGGAGAAAAAAATTCGTAATCCCTCGGCCTGGGAATTGCGTCCTGGAGACGAGTGTAGGCCGACTCCCGGAAGTGCCACAATGATTTCGAACCCTCGAATTTTTCAGTCATCAATACTACCCGCCAACGAGCAATCCTTTCGATCAGAGAGGAGGGACATCGCCCTACAGACCGGAGCATTCAGTATACTCTGATCACCACGAGAATCCTCCCCCTCACCTTTACGATCATGATCAGAGGCGTCCCCCGATGGATTATCGTCCCAGACCTCAACCAGGTCCTCTGTTTTCTCAATATCCTGACCTCAGGCAACCCCCTTCTTCGTTGAATCCGGCGCTCTACAATAACCGAAATCCCCCATATGGTCCCATCTCAGGCGGCGCATACATAAGACCCGCTCAGTTCGAAGGTAATTTCTCAACAAGTCTCGCCCGATAAGCGGCCGAACTCTTATCGAGCTTGGATGCAATGGCGACCGAGTCGACGGCGAAAGACATTCTTCTGAAATATATAGTGTCTGATGTATTTACAGCGCGTCACCATCCACCTGAATATCGTCCCTCCTCGCCCGGCAATCTCAATGAGATGAGGCCCGTGAACGACCGATACCCCGGACCTTACCCTCCGAGTCGGACCCCACTTTTCGGCGCGACGAATCGTCCCTACTACTCCCCGTATGATTCCAAGCCAGTGCTCGCACCCGCGCCTCCGATGCAAGCTTCCTTCTACAGACCGGATCGCTACAGACCGATGCCCCCCACTCCGATGGGTGGATATCCCAGACCTCCGTTGGACTACAACGGTAACGTCAATAATCATCAAGCGGCACCCTTCACTTCTCGCTACCGACCACCATACGGCGGACCACATGGTGCTGCGAGCGAGCTGTCCTTCAGTCATCTGCCATATGACCACGGACACGGGTCCCATGGTCACAACCAGGCTTACAGCCAACAGTACATGCACCCGATCAACTCTGAGAACAGACACGGTTAGTTGGTGGGGGAAATTCCGCGCTCAGCTGCTTCGAGTGGTTTTCGGGGAGAACTAGGTGGAGAAGGGATCAGATAGAGCAATACCGTTCCAAATCATTTCTATTCTCCAAGGTTGGCGGCCGACTAATTACGGAAAGTCAAAGGAGCAACCCGACGACGAGGACTTCGGGAACGCCATCGACAAGAACCTGGCTTTACCGAGCAACGATCCGGACGATACTGAGCTCGTGATGTTCAACACGATCTACGTGCAGAGAGAATACGGTACGCACTTAATCCGAGATCGAAAGATCGGAGCTCGCATGTGATTCCGCTTTGAGACGCTCTCGAGGCGGATACTCTCCGCAGGAGAACCGTAAACTCTACAATATTTGGCGATTTGATCGATCGATCATTCATTTCCCTGTTGTCCGTTCCAGCTGTGAAATATCCATACCAGATGTACGTCTACAACTACTACAACAGTTCCGTACACTCCCTGGACTTCGTGATGAACGGAGAAGAGGCTCGTCAACATATAAACGCGATCATCGAGAAACGAACTCAAGGAAAAATCCAAAACATCCTAACGGATATTCCGTCGCCCTCCACGAATCTACTACTGATTTCGGGAATTTTCATCGAAAGCGTCATCGACATTGAGAACCTGACTCCGGTCGACAATGTTCGCTGGATTGCGAACAGCCGGCAAAACTTCTCCAAAGAAGACGGTGAGTGAGAGAATCCCTGCCGATTGTGGGAGGATATTGAATCATGATTACGGTATCGATTGAGATGCCGAATCGCCGGATGGAACTCGCGGTCAGATTATTATCGTGACTTGGGAAATTGCTAATTGCAGATGATGTAGGAAACCCAATGATGATGGAGGCTCGCGGCGTGAAAATCCGTTACACGCGACACGATTATCTGAACTGCAGTGCTGTCGAAGTTCCTCTCAGAGGAGGTGTCGTGACCCTTTTGATGATCACGCCCGATCACATCGACGACATGGGTGTCCTCGAAGACCGACTTTCAGCACAAAGAATATCTGACATCATGGCTACGATGCAGATTAAGAAAGCCAACCTGAAGGTGAGAGGAGAAAATTCGCGGCGGAGAATCGGATGCTGAATTCTGAGTTCTGAACGTCAAGCGACATTCCATCTTCCTGCTCGGGATTCTAACTCGCGATTGTGATTGCAGTTGCCTAAGATTCAGATCGAACACAGTCACGTCAACTTGACACATGCTCTGTCCGCGATGGGTCTCCAGAACCTGTTCGTCCCTGGGCGTGCCGAGCTGTTCGACATGTCTGATGTCCGCTGGCTCCACGTCAGTAACGTTTTCCACAAGAGCGTTCTCCACATACAAGGCCCGCCTCTCAAGGACGACCTTGAGGAAGTTCTTCAAGGGGATAAAACACCGAAGAAGATAACGAAGATCCCTGGACATGCCAACGAAGGTCTCAACGTGGTTTTGAACCGGCCCTTCCTCTACTTCGTCATGGACTCTGTCAGCGGTCTCGCCATCGCTATGGGTAAAGTGATAAACCCTTAGTCCGGTAGTGCACGACGTAATCCGTAGGGAACTTCTGGTCACGATTCCGAGAAGTTATTGTACAAACGCTTTAAATTATGAAAACGAATAATTAAGCATGTATCCAAAGCTCCCTTGGCACCTACTCAAGACATGTGCGCTCTCAGTAGTAACTTGATAAGATGGAAAGTTTTGACCGTTTTTTTATTTTGTTGGAGGAACAACTGTGTATTTATGTGAAGGGGTTCAATAAAAAGAATGCGCTTTGCCGCCGAGGACCGCGCGCGAAAACAACGGCATGCTCCTGAATAATTATCATTCACAAAATAATCTGAACTCTTACGCGAGCGCAAACGATCAACGCGGCGTACGAATAATGTTCGCGTATCGGAAAAATAGCCCGATTGGGTGACGACGACTCGAGCACGGAAAAAATCGGTTTCTTTTAGAGAACATTGATTTCTTCTCCGGTTATAAACACATTTACAGTAGTATATTATTTTCTCTGTTCACCAATCTGTCCTGTGTTCGAGGCGGGCAGCTGTGCAGGGGCCCGCCTCCGTAGGCCTGGAATGGGCTTCCAAATGCGATCGTCATCGGGGAAGCCCTCGGTGCTCCTCTTCTTCGCACGTTTGTTTTACACGCGGTGGACTACGGGGACGGCGGTGACAACCTCCCGTTCCTATACCAGGGACGCATATCGTCGTCCAAATCGTCATCACGGTCCGAGTTGTTCTCATCGTAAATGTAGACATTGTCCTCGTCCTCGTCGTCTCCATCATCGTCGTCGTCATCTTCGTCATCATCATCATCGTCGTCGTCGCCGCCGTGGCCGCCGCCGACGCCATCATGAGCTCCGGCGGCGAAGGGCTCAAATCTCGCGGGGGGCGAATTCGATGCCACGTCAATGCTATCGTCTTCGTCGTCGTCATCCAGGGTATCTGCAATCGTCGAAAGGATAATTTCCTGCGCTCCTCTATCTCTAATCCAATAATCCCTTCAGGAGACTCCTATTGGAGTTTTGTGGTGCTCGTCGACCGAAAGTCCGCCTTCTCTCCCCGGCAGAACTCACCGTCTAGTACTTCTGTGCTAGAGTTCGAATCCGCGTCGTCGTCGTCGTCATCGTCCTCGACATCTTCGTCGTCTTCCTGCTCGTTGTCGTCGACGTCTCCCTCGAGCTTCTGTCTCCCGATCTCATAGAGTTTCACAACCGAATCGGAGCCCATACTGACCCTCTCGCCGGCGTTCTCGACGACCGCCAGATAAACGTCGCGACTGTCGGTCTTGATGTCGAATATGCTCCTTCTTATGTCGATGGTGGCGATATTAGAATAGTCGGTCGCGTCGATTGTTTTGAACGAATTGCCGTACATCGACTGCAGTTGCTCGTCGCGGTCTTGATCCATATCCTCACACATCACCATCGCGCCGTAGATGACATCCCCGCGCGAGTTGAAAAGCACTTGGCACTGATTGAGAGCCGGGATCGTATGCAGGAGTTTATACGTGCGCAGATCCCACACTTCGGTGTTCGAGATCACCTCCAGCCCGTTGGGGGTGAACACTCCGTTCAGATATGGGTTGAACTTGTCGAATTTGTGCACGGGATGCGCCCTCCGAACGTCCCACAGGACGCCGTCGTTGAGCACCAGCTCGTCGGTGGAATTCAGCGTTGCTCGGTTCTTCACGTATTGGTTGGCGAGTTTCTGGTCGAAGAACGTGGCCAATTTCCGTCCGGTCGTCGCGTCGTACAGCCGGGCGGTGCCGTACTGCGTGCCGAGTATTCGTTCATCGCTCAACTTGCCGAATTCGACGTAGGTGTCCTCTTGGAAAGTCATCTTCTGCTGGAAGAGATCGGTGAAGGTCCACAGCACACTCGTGGGCTGACGGAAGAACGACGAGGTCACAATCAAGGTGCCGTCCTGCGGAATGAGAACGAGAAAATTATTTAACCGACCCGCTACCGAAATGACGTCTCCGAAGACGGTGCGACGCGTTCGGGATAAAATCGCCGATCCCCTCCGAAGATCTGTCGGTGATTTTGGGTGTCGTGCATGAGGGCGATCGAAAGGTTCTCACCTTTGACGGCTGACAATGGGTGAGTTCTGTATGATGACAGGCGTAGGTGGCCTCATGTGCACCCGTGAGCAAATTGAAGACTTTGAGGTCGCCTCCCAAGGTACCAACAAACAGCATTTCATCACAAGACGAAAACGCGCAACAAGTGAAATTTGCGGTGAGGTCCGGCTCGCGGAAAGTCCGCACCGGTTTGAATTTCGAATAGATATACTTCCGTGTGAGTTTCGCGCCGTGATGTCCCCCCCAAGGCAAATCTATCTGACGCCGTAGAATCCTCGAGGTCAGGTTCCGAGGTGCGAAGCTCTTGAGGATAGGTTCCTCGCAACGATGCGGGGCCAATAAATCGAAAGGAGGGCACGTAGCCACAGGAACATTACAACAACTGTGCTGCTGGCCCAGGTACTCTTTGACGATTCCATCCAATGAGAGCATGTTCGCGTTGTAGGCGTTCTTCCGAACCACCGGCGACAGGACATCACGTTGATCGGGTTTCTCGATGAAGGACGTCGATTTCATTTGGCGTCGTCCTATTGCCACCGGGGTGGTCGTGAGATCTCTCGACCGATTCAGAGGTATTGTTTTGGATTGTGGAGTAATCGGCAAACTCTGGAAAATAAGTCTAGAGTCAGTGATCATTGATGCTGGTTACTCAGCACGTTCGGGGTACCGTGCCGGGGACGGATTCGAGAATCTTCGTTCCGAAGGATCAATCCACACACCAAAACCTGAGGAGAACTCGTGTTCGTCGTCAAGGCTTTCCGGGGATCCTCACGAATCGCCATCCGACGCCAATGGTTTCGTTTCCCGATGAGGACATCCTGTAGTTTCGCTTCTTTCAGCAAAGCCTGTGCACTTTCTGTCAATCCGGCCCCCAACATATGCTCGTACATCAAAACCAGCAGGTCACTGGGTTTGTATTTTATCTCTGTTGATGGTGCGGTTAAGGAAACCTCGTTACGAGGTCGGAGTTGACGCAAGTCGTTCTTGGTATTCCTGAAAAGTTTCAACGGGGATTGTAATTCATCGGTCGGAGCGAGCTTCCAGCGAGAGGGGAGAGGGGTACGGGGGAATGGCTGTTCGAGTCTTCACCTTGGGAGGGGATTTCCGGTGACGAGCTGCGCCAACGTATTTGCGTATTGGCAGAAACGGACGTGATACGCACTGGAATCCGCCAGAATCGGCTCACGAGTCAACACCTCGAGCTCTCCGCGCGTAAACAGAGGCAATTTAGAGATGATCTGCTTCACCGTGGAGCAGCGTGCTAGACCTATAACGAGCGAGCATTAGTTTCCCGGAAGATCTCGTTACATAGAGAAAATAAATCAGAGTTCTGCCCCGCTGGGCGTGCACGAAAATCAATGCCTCTTACCACAGAGCGCTTTACAGGCCAAGGCCCGAATAGCGTCGGCTTCTGTGATCGGGACCTTCACGGACAACCTGCCGAGGAGTACCATGATCCCGTTGTGGCTTCGCAAACACTTCCACATGCGATGTAGCACATCTCCGTCGCCGCTCTTTGCGCTCTTCTTGGGCAGACCCGTACCGCTGCTCGTACTCGCTGCATTATTATTATTGTGATGGGGCTTCTCATGCCGTCGGGGACCACCGACACAGTTGTGAATTATGCGCAGGGACGCTTTCTCGAGCTCTGCCGTTTCCGCCGGCATCCCGGTCTCTTCGTCGATGTTTGAGAGGATAATGCTCATTCCGATAGTCTCCTGCGATTGTCTCATTTCTCTCTCGGTCGCGTCGAGTTCCGGATTCGGGTGCGCGACGCTTTCGGTGAGGAGGAGTTGCGTTTTCGGGACCAGGGTGCAGACGCTGAGAACTTCGAGCGCGCTCCGGATCATTTCGACCTTCCCGCCCACGTGGCTGGCATCATCGAGAGCGATCAGGAGGAGCTTGAGCATCAATTGCACGCCTCCGAGTTTCACGAAACTATCGACCGCGGGCCATTTGACTCGAGACGGCAAATTGACCAGCACGAAATCCAACGCTTCGTCAATCTCTTCCTGTTTCCATTTCAGTTGCTTCGATGAAAAACAAGTCGCTTCGTTCCTTTGAGAGTTGTTCAACTTCAATTGGCCCGCCTTGATGATGAGCTGAGCTTCAAAGTATTTTTTCAAGGAGAAACAAACATGCCGCGCCGTCTGCATGCAGGTGAAGACTTTGTCCTCCTGTTCCGTCTCCCGGGAGATATTCGGGCGGAAAATATTCGGGTTCGTGATGATTTCCAACGTTGAAACGACATTCATGATCCATCGGAGCCCGTCCTCCCGGTCGAAGAATTCCAAAAACTTCGGATACGTGAAGGCCATCCCTGGGAACACAGGACCATCAGCAAAGGAATCGCGCGGACCGCTCCGAGCCCCGGTGGACCAGAGAACGAGCCGTAAACAAAAAACCTCGACGTTACCTCATGCCTCCAAGACGTGGGAAAGGGGGATATTCGCAGGGGGAAAGACACGGGAAAAAATCAAGGGATGTGTCACTCACCTAGGAACATAATGGCGTGGCAGCGACTGCTCTCGTGGCTTCTCTCGAGGAGCCACAAAGAATATTTGATGAGTTCGGTGAGGACATCCGGAGGTAGCTGACATAGTTTTTCCATGGCGTCTTCACTGTATCCAAGGTAGTACAAGCAAATTGACACACCCGTGGCCGCCACCGAGGGTCGGTGGACTTGGAGCAGCCGATTTACGCCGTTCGCCTTCAGGAACTCCATTGTGAACTTCTTGTGACATAGGAGCGAGGCCAGGTACCTGAGGGCTTCGAACGCTAGGCGAACGTCACGGTTTTCCTTGAGATTGATGTAATGTAAGATGAGCTTCAGGATATTCTTCTCCAGGACGAGCGGCAAGAACTCCTGGTAATCTCCGAGTGGTGTGAGATACTGAAGAATGAAACGTTGCCGCATATTCGTCGACAGAGGATAGATTTGGTAGTGCCCAATGGTGAGGAACTCTTTTTCCGCCCAACTTGAGTTCGATAACTCGCCGAATGGTGCGATGCGAACAGGAGATCGAGAAGGGGTCAACATGATGCGTTTGCTACTCGGTAGCGGAGAAGACTTCTGCGAAAAATTGGGAGTGTTGTCTCAGAACATGAAAATCTGACCGCTGTTCTCTCCCCAGTTCCAGATTGCCGGAAAAATGAATAAAAGTGAGCGTTCGACGTGGAATGAAGACGGTCCCGGGACCTTACCTTGCGCTTCCTCGAAAGCGCTGTCTGCTGCTGGCTATCACTGAAGTCATTATTGTTGACGCTGGCCCCATTACTGGAATGCGTGTCCTGTTCGGCCTGAGGTGGAGTTTCTTTTGAATCCAATGATCCGTTCAGGCTTGCGAAGGGTCTTTCGACTGTGTACTTTTTCAATTCCGGTGGTAGTTCGACGGGCATGTTCGCTAATTCGTTCAGCTCGTCCATCAGCATCGGCATCTGAATAAGTGCAGGAACTCAGTTTTACTCAACTCTTCCGTCACCTCGATAAACTGCTTTTGATGAAGAAGAATCTGTGAATTACTTGCCAAGCGAGCGTTCTTCTCTCTCCAATTCACCGCGATGTCTTGCACGCTCATCGCTGCGGCTAGCAGACCGATCGCGTACGATTTCAGTGGGTTTTCAGCTTCTTCTGCCCATTTGTACAGCTTGGAAACGATACCATCAGTCTCTTGGAAAACGATACTACCTTCGAGACCGGGCAGAATATCGTAGAGCAACCGACACGCCAACTCGTTCAATTTTGGGGAATCTCGAGCTGATATGTAGAAGTTGACAAGCCTATCCATGAACTCGTCATTCCGGAACAGAGCCTTCAACAACGCGCCGAAGGGACTGCTCTGATTGATGCGGTACGGGTGCCGGTCGTCGAATGGATCCGGATCCTTTTTCAAATAGAGTTCCGTCTCCCGTTCGACGATTTCGCAGAGACTGATCAGGATCGGCTCGGGATCGAGAGCTTGACCCCTCGACGCCGACCATTGTTCCAAGATCTTGTTGAGCTCATCCGTCGGACCCTCTTGTTCTGAAAGCATTTTTTATCCGTTAGGTTCGCGAAAACGCCACTTATTTTGGACCCGTCCGATTTGTTGTGCCTCGACAGGGACAAATTTTTGGTAGATCCAACAACTTGGAAGGGCTCGATGCAAACCCATTTGGACAGCGGCGGATTAGGAAGGACAACAAGAGATCACCGACGGCTCCCGCTAGCGGAATAGAAATCGCTATCCAGCGGTGTTTCGAACAGGATATTCAAGAACGATCGGGAGCGTTCCGGCGGGAACATCCACATTCGAGACGATTCGTGGAATAAGATGCATTCCGAGAGCGACAAAAGTTTCCTCCAGGAGATTATAGATATCGAGAATTTTTTTGGAAACCTCCAGCAGCTAGATTCGATAGAATCGCTGAGCTGCTTGATTGATGAGCTTGTGACTCTCCCGTGGATACGCATCTTTAGTTTGTTATCTCGTGATTCCATGAAAATCCATTCCGAGTGTCATCTAGTTATCTTGTCGTCGATTACGGTGTGGAAACAAATCATTTCGACAATAATTCGGACCTTCTCGAATAAAATTCGAGAAGCAATCACCTCCCGCATGGAGAACGCGACACGCTCTGGAGAGACATGTCCCAGCGGTATATGCCTTACCTTGCGGCTGAAGAACCGGAGGAGGTCGGTCGACGTCTGGCATTTTTCCTGTGCGTGATGCTCCGTGAAGACTTTTCGCTCAAATATTCGGTCTACTGCGCTCGTCGGCTCGTTTCGCAACCATGTCAGATAACCATTCCCCTGTTCCAATCGGGATTCACTGGGAGCGCTATTTTCCTATCCAGAAACGCACGAAAACATAACGTGTGAGTGAAGAAGAAAAGCTCCTCGCTCAAGCAATGGAATGAACGCATTCTTGTTTTGAATCTTGGGACCACATGCGCCCAAGATCCGGTGGCGCCATTTTTCGAATTCCGCGCGCTGCCCCGCGCGATTTTCTCGCCCTGGCGTAGACGCTCGTGTACGGCATGCGCCGGGACTTCGATATCTCAGGATATCCCCATCTGTCCGGAGGATGAAGTCCAAAGTGCTTCGAGAGAGGCGAGAAGAATGACGGCTTGCTCTTGATCCGGATCGTCACGGTTTCCCTTCGCGTCTTGCTAGGGAACGAGGATTTGCCTCGCCCCAGTCCTGCCGAATAAAGGCTGCGAGATACCGTCAGGGGTCCGTGATTAGACTCGATGCGGCACCTCGCGAACATTCAGCGTTTGACTGTCTTTTTCAGTGAATGTATCTGAAGAGGATCCCGGTCGGGAGGAGCCGCGAGTCGCGCAGGATATGATCCCCGTTGGAAGACTCTTCGAGTATCCTCGACGACTTCCCTCGCTCGACGAGCTCTCGCTGTCGTGCCCGGAAGAGCTCCCATCACGGTGTGCATCAGGCTTCTCATCATGACGCTGATCGAGCTCACCACCCGAGAAGAATTGAGACCTTGCGCGGCCGAAAAAAGTCTGTGGACCGCTCTTGTGCAAAGTAGAAAATTGATTGCACAGCTGACGATTCTATCATGATGCTACACCCGTGAATACGCTTCATGGATCGCAGTTCAGAGGCTGCCAATGGCGGAGGTCAGGCTTCGGAGGATTCGAAAGTCAGCCGACCGAGCGAATTTCGAGGGTCAGAAAGACGAATTGCGGCCCGAGAAGTCGGAACGAGTGGAAAAAATAATCGGACACTTTCATTCGGATCAGGCACCCGCACTTGGCAGCAAATCCTTCCGCTTACGCTGGCAATGACTAGGCTCGGTCATTGACTGCGCTCAACGCAAAGGCAAATTCTGCCTCCTCGCGCTTGAGTCCTTGCGTTCCACGCATCACAGCACTGAGAGCTCATCGAGTCTCCCGAACCTACTTTTCAGAGGAGGACGAAGAGGGCCAAAGTCTTCGTTCAGGTTCGGACTAAACCTCACAGGGCGCGGCTCGGAGAGCGGGTATCGCTTCCACGGTCGGCTCGCTTTGCAGATTCGACCCTCGATATCTTATTTTGATCGGGCCCAGAGTTTCGAACTGATGTCACCCCCGCGGCTCGTCGCGATAAGCCGATCAAGCCCCGAGCTCGAGGTGTAAGCATGGTCCGCCCGCGAATGATCGATGTCCTGTCTTCTCTGAAATGTATCCCTGTCCCTGAGTGAGGTCAGTCACGTGGATGGAGATACAACATGACGTCACGAGGCTCGGGAACACTTCGCATTTGATTTCGGGAGATCCGACCACTTAAATTATGGGCTTCATTGGATTTCCAAAAAACTTCATTTATTGGTCACTTTCGACCCACTCGGTGGGATGTTACGATTGAGCTCATTGATGCGTCGCGGATATAAATTAGAATAGTACAATCACAACTAATGGTTTGCGGGTGCGCGCTCCCGCCGTTCCTCACATTCGCTAAGTTGGTTGAATCTGTGCTATTCGTTCGACGGATCTACAACTTGTCCATGAAGGCAACAACCTTTCCGAAGACTACGTCCACTGGATCCGTTGCGGGGATCGTCACCACCATACTCGCGTACTTCTCTACGACGGGCATCGATTCATTGCGGAAAGTTTGCAGCCTCTTTCGGATGGTTTCCTCGTTGTCGTCGGCGCGTCCGGAGCTTTTGCCCCGCTCCAGGAGACGGGCGGCCATCAAGTCATCGCTGAGATCGAAGAACACGATGGCTTTCACCGAACAAACCAGCGATGTGAACTTCTCACCCTGCTCGACCGTTCGAGGGTAGCCGTCGATGAGGAAACCTTTTGCGGAGTCGGCTTTCTCCTTGATTGCGTTTTTCAGCAGCTGCAACACGGTCTCCAGCGGTACAAGTTCTCCCTTGGTCATAATAGCACTCAGCTGCTGACCGAGCGGCGTCGCTTTGGCCACCTCATCACGCAGAAGGTCTCCGGACGAAATGTGTACGTATCCGTATTTTTCCACGATTTTCGCGCATTGGGTTCCCTTGCCGGACCCGGGTCCGCCAAGAACCCACACGACGGGCACTTTGATGTCGAGAGGGGCTCCGATGTCCGTCATTGCGAGCTCGTGAAGCTCAACGGGTTCGCCGACAACGACCGATTGTGAGCTATCGAATACAGAGGACAGCGTGCGTTAGAGCCCAAGGTCAGTGCGCTCGCCGAAGCAGGAAGCCCTCCCTCTCTCGATGGTAAGGGCACGGACTCTGGGAGAAGGGTCCGGTCGAAACCTACCCTTCGCCCGCTCGGAGGGGAACAAGCTTTATTTCCACGGAGATCCATAGCGTGCCTTTCGAGCCACGTACGAATAGATCCGGGGGAGCAACTCGAGCCACGTACTAATAGATCCCGAGGAGCGACTCGAGACCCTGTTTCGGGGTGGATCACGGATGCTGGAACTATTCCTTCGTCTCTGACGCAAGCGGAGTCTTTTTTTTCGGGGCGACTCTTCAGAGGGAACACTTTCGGCGCAACCTCTGAGCTCGGGAACCTTGTTTACCCATTTGTGCAAGTCAGATACCGGCCTCCAGTGCACAATCAAACGACCTGCTCGAAGAAAACTCAAGGTCTACGACCTTGAAAACCGAGTTCGTTGTTACGCTTTGACCCTTGAGCCAGGGTTGATGAGTAGGTGTGCGGAATTCCGTTTGAGTGCAGTCTCTCGATAAATGACTGTCAGTGCTTCGAAGCGACCTTCCGAAAAACCTCGCTCGCTTCCCTCGCCATGCTGCCCGGGAATTCGAAGCTTAGCATTCAGAATCGGCGCCTGCCATAGAACTTGCGGAGAGCCCCATTATATTCGCGAGTCAACGAGAGAGTAGGAAACGAGAAGCAGCCTCCGCTGTGGCTAATATCGATGTGGGCCTCAACTTCTTCTGCTCGAAGAAATTCGGCGGAATATTGCTCATGAATCGAATCGTCCCTCGCTGTATTTAGATGAAGAATCGCTCTGGACTTACGTGAAACCTAAGCTTCGGTGCGGGTTCCTGGGAGTTTGTAACTTCCGGAAACTCACGGGGACAATCGATTTGGTCGGAGCGATACGCGACACAACTCGAAGTCGGCAGTAATGTCAGACGAACGCGGCCGTCTTCAGACTTACAGACACTTCGGGCTGCGAAATGCACCGCTCAGTGCTGGGATTCCCGATCGGGGTGCGAAGCGTAGTACGGCGATCCGATACCCAATCGTAGACAAGATGATCGAAAAGAATAAGCTTCCGAGCTTCCTTCGTGAAGCGAATGCTCTGTAAGCGAGCTGAAGTACAAAGTAGTGTGCGCGAATGCTCTTTACTGAATTCAAATTTTACGCGCCGCCTCCCCTCTCCCTCGAAGGAAAACAATCTTTCGGGTCCCACGTGCTAGACTGTTGCTGTGTATCCCCTAGTGAACCGTGACGCTGACCTGGACTGTGAAAGAAAAGCCAGTAATTCTGAGGGCCAGACGATCTTCCCTGGAAGATGAGCAGGGCCAGACGCAGACGGGAGAACCGGAAGACAGCCAATATAAATCCCAAAAGAGAGCAGCAGAAACAGAAGCGCAAGAGGTGCCCAAGAGTGCCGTCGGATCAGCTGAGAGCGATCTGGAACAATGGAATGACCACTCGCCGCAACATCGAAGGAGCGGGTCTCCTCCTCGATGCGAACAAGGTCAGTCCTCTAATTGTCAGGAGGCTCCATCTCACTTATTGTCAGTCCCGAACTCCACGAGAGTATCCTGAGAATTCCGCTTTGGTTGTGTCTTCTGTGTGGAGCTCATCGCCACATCAACTTTCCTTCCAGTTGGACGAGTCAGAGCCGAAAATCGAAAGAAAATTGAGGGAGAAACCCACGGTCGTTGATCTCATCGAGGCAGAGGCTAATCAGCCGAGAAGAGACCGGAGCTTTGTAATGAAAGACGATATGAAGTTCCTCGCCATGATGATTTCGAAGCACGGCATGGACGAATGGAGTGAAATGTCGAGAGATCCAGAGAACGTATATCAGCTGACGCCTAAACAGATTAAGCGGATCTTCATGAAATGTCAGAAGGTTCCGGTCGCTTACAATGCTCTCATGATAGCTTGTGGCCTGAAAGAGGTTCCGGAAGGCTTGAGTCACGACATGGAGGTCGAGGGGAGCTCATGAATTCTACGTTGGGTTGTACATAATAAAAATGAGCCCTGAATTATTGTTTCCTAAAAACTGGTCTCAACTCGCTCAGTCTCTTCATCTCGAATTCGTCCAAGTCCGGAGGACGGTCTGGTACCCTGAACGCTAGGGATTCCTGTGTCGCCCTTTGCTCCACGAGCACAACGAAGTTCATGGACCGAGGCGATAGGCGATGCGGCCCAAGAATAAACTGCCCTTCTCGACTCGGAACTTGAGAAGATGTTTCGCCTCGATAGTCGTATTGGCGATTCTCGTCGCATACTGTCATTTGCTGCTCCGCGCGTACAATGTTCACGGAGCTATACAGCGATTCAAAAGGAAGATCGCTTGCAGGAATGCGTTGTTGTCCCGGATTTACGACGGTCTCCTCCATTGTCCTGACGAGCATCGGACCCCCCTCAATCGCTAGTTGAGCTCCCTAGAGCCTGATCGTCCTCGAAATCGGCATGGGAATCCTACTCGAACTTCGTGGAGAGATCGGGACCTACTTGTGAGCTCTGGGTCCCAGAGTCTGGGAGGGCTGAGGATATTTCCGACCAAAGTGAGTCTCAGCTCTGATGACTGATAAATCTCGATTCGTGTAATCACAGCTCTACCGCAATGGAGAATTGAAGTTTAGTTGGAGGCGAAGTTGAAGAAGAAATCGGTCGTGCTAATTAGGTTACTGAGGTGATTTGCGGAAAAGGAGGAGATATGGCCTTGGATATGGTAAACCTCACGACTTTATTGGAATCTAAGAAGGAGATCGGTTTTCGCTCACCCTCAGTAAAATTGTATGTTTATACTAAAATCAGGTCAGGGGGTGAATCTCGCCTTTTCGACACGCTCACAGATTCGATAGCAACATCGGTGAATCGCAAGAATATTATGGCAAACGTATGTATTGTAGATCAATTCCGACTCTCGAAAACTAGTTGCGGTTCCTTGTCCATGAGAACTTTCCCGCGCGCTTGGAGGAAATCCACGGGGTCCGTACCGGGAGCCAAACTCACACGGAAGTTACCGAAAATGGCGCTGAATCCAGGATAGACTATGTGTCGGACGAATCCATCCCCCATGCAGGAGCGTTTCCCAGTCCCGAAGGGGAGGAAAAAGTCGGGTTTCAGAATTTTTCCGTCCTGGATGAATCTGAAATTGAAAGTTGTCCAAAGATAGTCTCATGATATCTATCGCTGATCTCGAATTAGATCCCTTCTTTACCTTGACCGGATCGGAGAGGGAGGAATCGGATTCATTTCGTTCCAAAGCTCACCTTTCTGGTTTGAAGTTTTCGGGTTCATCCCAATGGTTCGGATTGAAATTCAGATCACACGTATTGAACATGACCATGGTATCTTTCGGGACGCGATAACCCTGAATTTCCGTGTCCTCATTGGCCACATGCGGTATGATCGGTGAGCAAACGATACGCAGAACTTCGTACATAACTGCCTCGCTGTATATGAGCTCAGTCCTGTTCGCCATGTCGGGAACACCGTTCCCGACGACGGACTGATACTCCTCGAATAATTTTTCTTGCACGTCCGGCTCATTCGCGATCATCGTTAGGCCCCACATCATCATGTTCGTCACCACGGGGAAGCCCCCGACGAGATCATCGATGATAACGTCGACATCGATGTGATCGATTGCGTCCTTAGAAGTATCTTTTTTATTGTTACGGAGATGAAGAAGGAGGATATCGAGCAAGTCTCGGGGGGAATCCTCATAGCTCTCGTATGTGCGTTTGTGTTCTTCGATCATGACCGCGGTGAAGCGAGCGACGGTTGCGGCGAGTTGAAATAAGCCTTGGAGTCGACTCGCATAGAGAGGCTTAGGACGAGAGAAACAAATAGTCACTTTGCTCTGCTTCGATTCCAGGACAAGAATAGAAACGAATTCCATCACAGGGGGATCGAACTCACTTTCAGCCACGGCATGAAGTCTATGGCGTAGCCTTGGAACAGCTCGAAGAACACTTCGTTGTAGAGGTCCGCAACCTTCCCGAATTCCGGATCGGACCAATCGAACCTTGAAATAAACCAAACCTAACAATATTTCGAGCCCCTAGAGCTCCACGTGATCGAGCAGGAAAAATTCGGAGATCCTACGTTGTGCTGCAGATTGCCTCGTAGAAAATGTTGCCCGTGGCGCGCAGCAGACTGTCCCGAGGAGAACCGGGGACACCGTTGGAATCCTTCAATTTATCCAGCAGTAATCCGAATTGCTGTTCGACCGCCGAGCAGAGCTTCATCTGCATACAGCTCCCCCCTTTCGGATGAAGAGGGGGATAGAGGATATCGCGACGTGTCTTCTGCTTCGACGACCAGTCGCAGAGAGCAACCGCTGGAAATGGGCGTCCTTGAGATGAGTTCTCCCGGGTGCGGTCTCATGATGACCCATGTCCACTTCGAGGGGGCTCCACATGCACATCACTCTCCACCCTCACAGACATTTCCGCTTTTACTCACAGAGGTCTCGATTCCATCGGAAAATAGCGTGAAAGCGCGCGAAGTCCGGCCGGTTGGAAAATTGGTTCGCTTTCGTCACTAGTATCTCTCGGATGTACTCCGCGCTTCTGACAACGAGGCAATACCTGCTGCCTATCTGGACACCGACAAGATCTCCGTACTTGTGATTGAGAGCGCTGAAACCGTCCCAGACGTTGGCGTACTTTCCTAGCTGCGGTGAAGCTCCTAAAACGGGTATGCCGCCTGGTCCCGGTAGTGTTTTCAACCCATCCTGCTCGGAACGTCGAAGCTTGCTGAAGAAACCCATTCTGTCAGCCACACAAACACAAACCCGAGGGCGCGTCGCTCTCAGTCTTCCGTAGTCACTGATGCCCCGGTCGGATGTATTCTCATTTTCATGCTCCGAACGCTGAGCCCCTTTCCCTTTGAAAGGGAATAGCATTCAGACAGCTCCTGGTGGAAGCGACCAACGCAAAGAAACCGGTTCGCGCGGCTTTCTCTACGCTCTTACATGGTATACTTGAGCGTAGCGGCAGGTTTCGATCGATAAGCTCCAGACGCAGCGTCAAGAAGTAAAAAGCTTCTCCTGTCATGAATTGCTCTGTTTCCTCCCTCGCCGATCTCTGATTCAGAGGGTCTCCAATTACTTGGACCCCTGGAACCAGAGAGGATATTGCGGAATGTAGCGCGAGTAACTCAATACCTGTCAAGGAGCTTCCGAGACCGCGAAAAGGGACGGTCAGGGTGAGCCGGTTCTGCTCCCCGCACACTCGCCACACGCATAGTTGTGCCACTTTGATGCTCCTCGAATGCAGGTGAACGCCCTCGGTTGGCAGGCGTTTGATTGTCCTTGACCATGCCGGCTGGTCCATTCTTAGTTTGAAGAAGTGTAATCAAAGGCGAATCTTTCTCAATTGGCTTCCATGTTGTCTCCTCAGGCGCGGCGTCGATTTCGTCCATGAACACGATCCAAGATTCCAAAGTCAGCTCTGAGGCCTTCCGGGAACGCTGAGACATCTTCTCGGATCTCTGAGAATCTCTCGAGGGATGATTTGATAGCAAGAGATACATCGACCGTATTTAAAGTGGTTTCTCGTTTGTAACACGATTTGATCACAATCACTTGAGCCAGTTCCTGCTCAGCGATCTCTTATTATTGAGATTAGGTTGTAGGGAATTAGGAAGCGCCGTTAGCTACACGAACACCGCTCAAGACTTCTAGCAGAACTCTCTTAGTTGTAGGAGAATCCCCTCCCCTTGCAGTGTCTGGGACCCGTTGATAGCTTATCGGAATCGCATTGAGAGGGGGCTATACATGTTCCCGACCGTTTTCCGGGACAACGAAGTGATGGCAATCGAGTGGACAAAGATCCGGGGGATGTCTTCATTCTTCCACTTGAAGAAGAGAGCTCAGACAGTTCTCCTCGCCTCCAATTTTATCTATCTGTGCGTAATAATCTACCGAATGTATAATCTCCACGGGAGACTCCTGATGATTCATGAATCGGTGAAGGCCGACCATCAGAGGCTGCATGAGCTCTACATGGTCGTATCGTGTCCGGAAGAAGCAGATTTCGGCGGTTCATGGGGGCAGATCATTCTCTGGCTCTACTCCTCGAGCTCGAAGTTCCTATTCGGCTGATACTTCTTCGCCGTTTGTGGGTGGGAACCGCTGGGTGGGGAACTCAGGATTTCTCAGGACAGGAAAAAAAGCGCGAGCTCGCCCTAGACGAAGCCCTCTTTTTTTTCGTTACTGCTCTCGTCGATGTCGGCTAAGACAGGTCACAGCCTCATTCCGGCTGCACTTTCGCTGTTTGATTGTGGTAAAATTCTACTTTGAACAATCAATAAACCCTAAGGTACCATATCAATCATGGCATCATTTTCTTCGTTCAAATAAGAACTGCGGTTCTACCTCCATGGTGACCTTGCTGCGAGTCCATCCACGGTCTTCGAAGTTCAGATCACACGTATTGAACATGACTATCGTGTCTTTGGGCACCCGGAACCCTTGAATGTCAGTGTTCTCGTTCGCGACATGCGGAATTATGGGCGAGCTCACCAAGCGCAAAACCTCATACATGACTGCCTCACCGTAGACGAGATCCTTCTTAGATGAGGCTGTAGGAACGTCGCTGCTCACGATGTTCTCGCATTCTTCGCGTAATTTCTCCTGATCTTCCGGCTCCGTAGCGGGTATCCACAGTCCCCAAATCATCATGTTGGCTAAGGCTGGGAATTCACCCAAGAGGTCTCCGACTGCAACTTCGATATCGAGCTTCCCGAGAACCTCCTCGGCAGTATGCCCTTTGTTGTTTCGTTGATGTAAGAGGAGCATGTCGACCAAATCCCTTGGAGAATTTTCATGATCCTCAAGTGTTTCTTTGTGCTCATCAATGATCTTCTGAAACGATTCACAATCGTCGCCTTCTGTACCAGATCGTTCCGACGAGTGGCGTTGATGGGCTGGGTGGGAAAACGGACTTCGTGGAAAACGGCGGATATACTTTGTGTGTTCGTTGCTTCCAAGCAAATGCAGTTGAACCTTCGACTTATGACTGGATCCGCTCTGAATCCTGAGCTTGGAAAAATTATCTCTACTGATGCTAACTCTGAGCACTGAAACCGTCCCGAATGTTGGCGCAATTCCCGAGTTGGGGTGATGCCCCCACAGCGGGGAACCCGCCGGTGTCTGGGAGAGGTCGTCTTGTTCTGAACGGTGAAATCTGCTCAGAAGCCCCATGACTCGCTCGGTGCCGAAGGCGGCTTATTAGCAGGGTCGCGTGGCCGATCCCTCGACCGGATGGCTTTTCCCTTTCTAGCGTCTCGAGCCGGTGCGCTCTCTCACGGCGGAGAAAGCGTATTCCTCCATTTGACTCGCTCGGTCGACTGACACAGAAAAAACCTGTCCGGGAAACCGGCTCCGCAAGCGCTCTCCCTCGGCAGACATGGTGCGAGTGGGACGGTGGAGCCGCAACACGGGCCAGAATCCCGGAGAATCTCAGTCTGACCGGTGCGGCGTTCTTTTCGGGTCTAAGATCTGAATGTCAGATATTCCTGAGCACGACACGGTCTGAGCGATCCGCGCGGCAGCCTGTTATTAGTCCGCAGCGTACAATTCGGACCCCCAATGAGTTCCGATTCAATCTACTGGATTGAGCGATTGACGCGAGAGATTCGCACACTTATTGAACACGTACTACCTTACAGAGATTACAGGTTCCCCGAAATGTTTAGATGGCGGCCCGTTTGATTTGATTACCATTGCCTAGTGACCGCAACATGCGCCTTGTGGATTCAGTATCGAGCTCGCCTCAGCAGATTAGACAATTGTAGTCAAGCACCGGTCTATATCAGGTGGCAGAAATATGATGGGGGTTCGGGTTTCGCCTGGAAGCGAGACGAGCCTTCTCAATGAGGTAAATGCCCTCTGCTGGCAGCGGCCCGACAACCTTGGCCGCAATAAGATGAGCGGCGAGGGAGAGAGGGAGTCGTCAACTAGCAGCAGACTCTCGAAATGCCGGGAAGTGCTCTGTTGGAGAAGCTCGACAATGAGTTGAGAGTCATCTCGAGAATTTTGATGTAGCTCCTTCGTCCAACTCCCTTGGTGGCCTCTGCACGACCCTTGAGAATGTTTCCTTCCTCCCCCCCATTGGAATGTGCTCATCTACAGTTCCTTATTCGCTCCTCCATAGGATCGGCCACTCTTCCCTCGGTTGGGAGATCCCTTCGTATTCCATGCGGCAGAGTCCACTGCCACCACTTGTCTGATGAGTTTGATTCGGATAAGTGATTAGCGATCATAAGCAATCTGGCCCGGTTCTTCCCTCCATCGAGGATGGATCCATCTCGACTCATACATACAATCTGGGGGCTCTCGCTTCAGAAAACTGCTCTGAGTGCATGGACTTCCAAGTTCGGAGATATCGATTGGCGCACCCCCGCCTACGCTTGTAGCGCTTCCTCGGGGCTAAATAGGTGAAGGGAATTGCAGGAACAATTGTTTGACACTCCTTCGTGTACCCATGGCTCTCACGATGAGACCTTTTTTAATATCACTAGCAGACCGACCCCGAAAAGTCCATGCGAGGGGGTCAAGAGCTAGTTAGTCGAGCTGGAATAGGGGCGCGTTCTGAATGACTCATTTGTGTGATGATTGTGGGAGGTTGCAGCCTGCTGATTGACAGAATATTGACTCGTTCATGTCTCGTGCCCGGAGAAAATTCCTGCCTTCGCAGTTCTGCGGGTGGCGAAGTCGAACTTTTCGCGGAAATGCGCCGGAATAGCCACCCTTCTCATTCCCCGTACCTATTCCCCCCGAAGGCATCCCCGGCTAGCATCTGACCCCTAGCAGAGAGCCACCAGATGTGAGCTCAATCAGAGAGTAGAGCACTCGGTTGGTCGAGTTTCTGATTCATTTATTTATTTATATATTCATTATACACATACAATTCTCGACTCGATCGATGATTCGGTTGCATAACCAACGACCATCAAAATCAACCACTTCCAGATGTAGATGAAAACGAATCACGTTTCTCGCTGTCTAGTTTCGTAATGCTCTAATGTTGTCAGTCCGAGACCGATAAAATGGTATAGAAACACATTTAATTATGAATCAAGCACTCAGTTGTGCGGTCAATTGACTGTTCCTCACGTGAGGGAACGAGGTAACGAAAGTTTTCACACCTCGAGCCACGTTGTACGCGTATTTGATTATGCTCTTCGCATTTTCCGCCTTATCCGTGCCTAAAAGTTGCTCGCAGCTCTCAACGAGATGATTGGCAGAGTTCAGGAGTTCCTGCAGAGCTGTCTTGCAGCTGACGTCGGGATAGCTCTGCGGTAAGAGATAAGACATTTCGATCACAGAGCCTCGGATCTGTTTACAAATGGATAGATAACAGTTGTCGTTCTGACTCTGCGCCGCCAGAAGCAGATTATGAGTGTGCTTCGTGATCTCCTCGGTTTTTATGAGCAGGTTCGGATAAAAACCAGGAGGCTGCAGAGGAGGAGGGCTTGTCGGTGGTGGTGGCGGCGGTAGGGCTTGTACCGGAGCTGTCACCGGCGGTAGTGGCGGGGGCGGTAGCGGAGCAGCTTGTGCGGGAGATTCGACCAGTAGTTCGGCGGGAGCTTGGGAGATGACGTCATCGTCTCCACAGACGCTATCGTACAGGGGTTCATCGTCGTCGTCGTCTTCGTGAGTAACTCGACTCTTCGCGGTCTCTTGGCCGACGCAGAACGTGATCAGAGTCGCCAGTTCCTGCTTGCTCAGACGGGCTAGTTTTTGTCGGGATTGATTCCGAACTGAAGAGAAAGCCTTATTCACAGGCAGGAACGGAACGTCATCACATCCCATCTGTTTGAGCAGGTCACGGCGTTCTACCTCGTCGTAGAGATCTCTACAGAGCTCTGCTAGAACGTCATCGCTGAGGTTGAGAGTCGGCGCGTTCTGATTTATCTCCGAAGACGCAGCGAATGCTTGAAGTCTGTCGGCGACTTGATTCAAAGCCGAGGACATTTGCGCGACGAGATCCGAGCGCCCGGCCGCTTTCGCTACGTCCAACGCCGTATAACCGTTACCATCCTGATTTCGGGGATCGGCTCCGTGTATGAGCAGCAGTTCGACTTGCAAAGGTTGCTCGGCCAGGACCGCATTATGCAGACTGGTGCTCTGGGTCTCAGGGTGAACAAAACGCACATCGGCTCCTTGCAGTATGAGTTTGAGAGATTCTTCGACGTCGTTACTCCGCACCGTGTTCATCAAACGAAGATTGGTCTGAAGTTCGGTGGCATCGTGCGGTAGCCGTTCCATGAAATTTAACATGATATACTTCGCTTCGATGAAGGCACTCCGCGTGGGATGGCGGTTTTGGTCATGCGGCGAGGGTTTGCGGCAACCGCCGGTGTAGTTCGAGTCGAGTAGATAGTGTTCCCAAACAGAATTAATGTTGCGCGTCGAGAGGACTTCGAGCAGCTCTCTCTGACGCGGGGGCAGCTTTTTGTCGAGACAAACGATCTGGGGAAAATGTCTCCCGAGCTCTAAATGAACTAGAGCACACCTCGAGCACAACAGGACACCGAGACTCAGTGAAGCCCATCCAGGATCGGCAGCGCAGCAGTCCGCGCAGAGATCGGCCAATTTGACTCCCGACATCTCGGCACAGTGCGTCGATACCTGGATGCGGTGTTCCTGTCGTTAGAGCTGGTACCACCCGTAATAGGAAACAGTGGATCCCGGCGCACCGCCTGACTGCTGGTCGGTGATGGCGAAGCTCACACTGACTGACTAAGGGATATTTTGTTTTGATGATGACGATGATCTTCACAGAACAGCTGACCAGAAGAAACTCTGGAGCGACAGCCGGTCGGTCAGCTAGTCGGTCGACTACCGAGAGAGACACAGCTCAAGGGAATCAAAGTTTCGCACCGTGCACCTCTTGCAGCTCTCGGGAGGCACGGCGCTGCGAAATGTTCAGGAGAGGTCTCTCGTGCATGCTCGCGTCAGCGCGACTCGGAGCGCGACCACTTCCTCCTTTGACTCGGGTGAGCACTCCCGGTGATTGAGGTACTTAGTTTGGCACTGTGTGAACTGAGGATGCCATCCAAGGTAGCGGAATTCTTGGGGGCGCCCGTATCCCGTGGAACGAACCTGCCCAGCGATATAGACTTGGGAACTTTTGGCCAACAGAGATCAGCCGATTCCGCGCAGCGGCTCGTGCCAATATACGTACATCTGCACGGATTCCATAAGCGGATCACTTCGCTCGAGGCAGATCTTCGACGTAGTGAGCCGGATAATGTGGAGCCGTGTGAAGTGCATCTAGTACATTTTCTGTAGGTAGCCTAATCGTTGACCACGCGCCTTGAGATGTGAGGACGAATAATGAGCGGCGGCCACAGAGGACAGCAGAATCCGTGGGCAGATCAGAGGACCTCCAATGCGGAAACTGAGTCTTCTGCGCGAGAGAAGCGCACTCATGAATCTGTCGAAACAGAAATCGCTCGGAGCACTGCCAGGATCCGAGCTTTTCCGCAACGTACCCATTCGCACGTGAAACTTTTTCGCCTGCCTCGATGATAGATTGGCGCTGAAACATGAGTACCTGTGGAGAATTCTTTCGGCCCCAGTTCTTCTAATTGCTCGGAGCGAGTCCGATACCCGAACGCAATTATATTTCGACCCAATCCGAGCACGCGCTCGATGCGGGGAACGCTCCGGCATCGAGATAGGGCGCGTGCAGGAGAGGATGAAGAGCCGTTCTCTCGGAAGGTTCGAGCTCGTTTAAAGCATTAAATGTTCCTCCCTTGAATTTGGAACCTTCCAAAACTGGAATCCACTTGGTGGATTCAGTGGATAACTTTCGATCCCCGCGCCGTGTTCTCGATAACGAGCCAGACAACGGGAATATTCGACTGCGTTGAATATGTGAAGAACCTGAACGATTCAGCGCAAGCCCTGAGAGGAGGCATTGCACGACGTGACAAATCCACAATGAGCTCAAGCGGGAGCGTTCGTTTGACTCGGAAGAGACTTTCAGAGATTCGTTTGAAATCATTCAAGTTTCTTGGCTGCTCTGAGACCAGCGTCATCTTCAGCTTGAATAAGCTCGCGAACTCCTTATTCGTGGCCTTATCTCTAGCTCCTGCCGCTGCTATTTCTTTTTCCCTCCCTCTCCTCGTTATCGTACTCGGTCCATTGGTTCTCCGACGAGATCGATTGTTTCTGCACCTTCCCGCGAAAGTCTGTCGGGAGACCTGCTCCCGTAGATCAATAACAAGGGAGTGGGCCGCGTGATATTGATAACTTATTGACAAAGGCCTGTGGAAATTCATCTGTATTACCGACTACCCGAATGAATGCTGCTGGGAGCTGTTGTCGCTGTGCGTATTCGATAGACCGCATCTATGACTCTGCCGGCGATTGTATGTTTTGACCCTGCCGATGAGATTTCTGAGCTCCGTAGATAGACATCTCGACTTCGCTAATCAGCCGAGGAATCATGAGGGGGATCGTTCTGCATTGGTGGATCGTCTTGCCCGATGATCGATCCGTATGCTGCGTTTCTCTTGTTCGACTGGGAATCAAAGCCGACCCGATTCTCGAATGACAGAGTGGAGGCCATTCCGGAAACGTCGACTTAACCACTCCGCATTGGACATTCTTCTGAATTATTCACGAGATTATCCGCCGAGACTGCCCTCTAAAATCCCGGCTCGATGTTCTGAGGATTTTTCCTTGTTGCCCTTCCCTTTAACCCGGAGCATCGGTCGATGCTCGTGTCGGTTTACCATTGCGCCCAGACTCGAGAGCTTTCCCTACTTCTTCTTTTCTTCTCTCTTTTTCCCGATGGCAGGTACCACATCGTTCCTTAATGGATTCAGGGGAGGTTGCCGCCGCCGCGGAGGCAGCTCGCGACTTCGCCGCAACGGGAACTCCTTCGATTTTCGCTAAAATTCTCGACGGAACCATTCCTGCCGACATTATTCATGACGATGACAAGGTACAACTCACCCGAGCACTGTTTGTCTTCTGTCGCCCGCTTCCGGTCGACGTCCTATCTCGCTCCTTGCTCCCACGAATTGGAGCACTTTTGAAGCAAATTCCCACTCACCGCTATCGTATTTTCCCTCGTTCTGCTCTCACCTTGATCATGGAACCCTCGGAGGGAGGAAATTCGGAATCGATGGTTTATTCCCATTTCTGTCCGAACAGTGCATAGCGTTCCGAGATGTCAACCCTCAGGCACCGGTGCATTTCCTGGTCATTCCGAGAAAGCCAATTCCCATGCTGGAGAAAGCCGTAGCAAGCGACGGAAATCTCCTCGGTCATCTCATCCTGGTGGCCAAACAGGTACGTATATTCCGAGACGCCGCGAATAGATAAATTGCCCGCCGAGCTGTTCTGAACCGAATGGAGACGCTGTTGCCCAGTCGGCGGATGCCATCAGTGGCCTCGACGTGGGCGTCGGTCGTAGGGAGTAAAATCGCCTTTTCCTCCAGGTGGCAGAGTCCGAAGGACTCAAGGACGGCTACCGCGTGGTGGTGAACAACGGCGTCCAGGGAGCCCAGAGCGTTTACCATTTACACATCCACGTGCTGGGAGGACGGCAAATGTCCTGGCCACCGGGTTAATGTTGGTTCAGATGACGCATTTTTTCTCCATCTCACACCGAATAAATTTATTCCCGCTCCCTTGCCAGGGCGTCCCTATCTATTGCATGGGAGGGGAGGAACTCGGAGTCTTCCGCAAGGTTCGAATCAATGGAGATTCCGGGAACATCCGCCCTCTCATGCCTGAGTCTCTTGATGACCGCTCCTCGGTATGCGGATGTCATCAACAAGAAAAAAACACATGCTCCTGTCGCTCTTCCGAGGCACAATTGACTCGAACTCGACTTGGAACGATGTTGGAGGATCCAGGAAAGTCGATTCGGAAGCAAATCGCTGTTCGGGAGAGACTGAGTCCTCAATCTCTGATCACCGGATCCGGGAAGGAGCTCATAGCCTTGCTCTCCTCGAGGTGCTCGCCATTCGAGTCGCATGGGTTCAAGCGAAGGGAAGAGCCAAGGAGCTGAACTTATATCATTAGTTCTTTTAGGCAACCTCGTAATAAAAGAAGCAAAGTAGCGAAAGCGCGCTGACTTCGGCTAGAAGGTTGCTTGTCAGCTGATTCACATAATTTACACGGAGAAACCGTTGGCTGTCCCCTACACACAAGTGTTCGCCTTTGCAAGTCACACCAGCTGTTTGTTCCAGAACAAGGAGGGGAGGAGGGCACGCTGGGGGCGTTCGACATGGGGGGCGCTCCGAGACTAGGTGCCGATTGATTCAGGGGACCCATAGTGTCAGCATGCTTTCTTTAGACAAGATAATTCCCCGAAAAGCCACTGAGTCCTTTATTCCCAGATAACTTGATATTTTCTAGAGTTCCTGGATGACCCAAAATCTAATACAATCAGGGGGTTGATCTCTTCCACGCAATCGATCGAGGCGTTTCCGAATCGGGTTTCGGAACGTTGTTGAATGGGAAGCGACCCAGTCGGGAGGTCCATGGTGAACGATCGGGAGGTAGGGGTGGCGGCGTGCCGTCTCTCACAAAACACGGTCGACACCATTAGCCGCAGGACAAATCCATCAAGGGAACATCTGCTGGCTCGGCCTTTGCTGCTCCGGCGACTCTCCCGCTTGCTCGCTGACCAGTCTCTCTGTCGCGCTAGCGGTATTCGACGATTCCACGTACACAGCGAAAAAGGGCTCGGGTAGGAATCGACAAGCCGAGTCTTGAAAGCCGGTGAGCCTGAGTTCCGGGCGGCTTCGGGGAACCTTATCGCTAACCCCACGTGAAAAACCAAGGAGGCCTCGGAGCCTTGGCCGCGAGGTTCCAACCGACGAGTTGAGCGCTTAGAGAACCACACTCGAAGCATGTGTTGCCGAATCTACTCGGGAACACAGAAAAAGTTCTCGGTGTTCCCTGACTGAGCCTACGGCCGGAGCTGCCTGCACCGATCTCAGCGTTCGCAACAAATGGTACCACGCGCGTGAGTCCCTGGAAGAGACCATCCATTGTGGGGCGTAGAGCTTCTTGAAGGATTATTCACGCCTCCGCTGTGACCTCTTTTTGCTCGGAAAAAAGGTCTTTATCTTTTTTTGCACGATGTGTATCTCGGTGTCTCTCTCGTCGAGTATATCCAGACATTTTAAGATGGATGAAAGAGGCAGCGAGCAGACTCGCATGCGAGGGAGGAGGTTTGTGGCGTTCATGCAGATAAAGAAAAAGGACGACGAAGGACTCGACGACGTATATTCAGGAATTCGAGGAATTTGCACCGGAGGATTTGCTTCCCCTATCGTTGCTCTCCAAGTGAACACTGACTGGGATGAGCGAGAGACGAAGCGGGACGGGAAGGTCGGTATTGGAAGACAGTCTCCTTAGTTTCCGTTGTTTTTATGCTCTCTCGTTTCCTGTTGCTCCGAATCCTGCTCACTCCTCAACCCTTCGCGTTCCGAGTTATCCTCTCCCTCCCTTGGATATCGTGTTATGACTCGATCGACTCACTGAGCGTATCGGATGTTTCTGCACGACTTTTTTCAGAGAGGGAGATGGATCTCAACGCACGGCGGAAATCGAAAGGATCTCAATGAATATCTCTCAGATGATATTCTCATCATCTGTTGCGTTGCTCCGTGTCTTTCAATTTTCCTCCGGTGCTCCGAGAGGAGTTTTTGCCGAACGGACGAACTCCTTCCGCTATCACACATCTCTCCCAGCATAATTGGCGATGTTTCCCCTACCTTGGAATCCCGGGTTTCGAGTTCTTCTTCTTGAGTGAATGTCATGGTTCGTTTCCTCTAATTTTTCCTTCCCTTCCGATCCTTTGGGACGTTTTTAGGAGGGATCTCGCGTAGGCAACGACAATCTCGGGAGCTTTGCTACCAGACGGGAGCGTCTGAGCCGAGACCGTGATTTCCACGGAGTTCGTACACCGATCTTCATTCGTGACTCCGTTCCGAGGTACGAGGCTGTCTCGGCGCTGTCGCTATGTCCTCGTGACGGTCTCCCGGGAAGGTTCTCGGGAGGATTTCCTCTGGGATTCCGTGAGGATCCCCATGGCGATGCGCGTGGGGTTCGTGCGGAAAGAGTCCGCTCCCAGCCGGCAGAGACATATGCAGCTCGCGACACGAATCAGTACGAAGAATGACACCACCTCGTGGATAACTTGGAGAAGCTTGGAATTAGACTCCGGATAATGTTCACGTGTGTCAGCCCAGACGAACAGTAAAGCTATAAGCTGTGATTTTTCAAGCTCCTCCGGATGAGAACTCAGGAGCCCAGCTTGCGAGTTCGTACAGACAATCCGAAGGATCGAATTCTATTTTTCATGCTTGGAAGCGTTCGGCGGAGCTATTGCCCCGTAATCCGAACTCTGTTCATCAATCCATTCCGCTGTCTGTCCGTCACCTCAGATGCCTCCGGAGCCTTGCCCACGTCTATGAGTACTGCACATTCCGAACACGCCGGACCCTATGCTGGGACATTTCCGTACGATCGTGCATCTTGGAATTCGCCACCTAAATCTCTGTTCCTGTTCACTGGCCCCACGGCGCGTAACAGGAATGGCAGAGAAGCAGTGTCTTGACAGGGATCAGAGGCATCACGGAACGGACTCAGCCGCGTTGACGTCCTCCATCACCTACAGTGGTCTGGCTTGGGTCAGTTACGCTGTGACTTGCCTCGGCCATTTTTCCTCATGCTTTTTCCCCCTGCCCTATCTCGCTCAAACTCCTTCTCTTCCTCTTAATCCCCTCCCTTCTCCCCGTCCGAGCTCTGACTGAGCCACGCTTATCTGAAGAGGAAGAGAGCTGCTTCTTAACACGACGTAGAGCTAAGGGACGTGAGTCGTTTCACAATGGGGTCGACCGTCTGTGCCTGCTCGGCTGGCTGGCTATGGAGCAATGGCATCTCTTCCATGTTTCTGATTATAACCAACCAACCAAGCAGCCAACCGACCGACGACCTGGCCGACCTAGCTACCTAACCGACGCGCGGGCCAAGGGGGCAGAGGCGAACAGACGGGCGGACGGACGGACGAAGTCACCCAAGGAGCCACGCAGGGCAACGAAGCAAGGAAATGGCCGGCAGGCTTAAGGGAACAAAATTTGTGTCTCTGCCTCTCGAGCAAACGACAGCGTAACGAACGAGTGAATGTGTTGCCTTTTGCTCCGAAACACTAGCGACCTGCCTCTTGCAACACTGATCCTCTACCAGGATGGGAGTTCCCGTGATGCTTAAGTGCAAGGAGTGTACCGGTGATTTTTGTGGCTCTGCTGGCAGCAGCGCCAGCATCATTCTTGCCGGAGAGCCTCTCTCTTTACTTACTTGGCTCCTTGTAATCCCTCCTGGCAATATTTCGATACCTCGAAGCAAACCCGGCGCTCTTACGAGCGATGCTTCTTGGATAATTCGCCGTGGAAGTGTTTACCGCACTCTGACATTCTGACACCCTTTTCATTGCTGTCCACGAGAGCCCTGACGATCTAAAGATCTCGCCAATGAAGGAGAGGAGCTCGCAGGAAACAGGTCGCAGCCGCCGGCGACTCGCAGTTTCGTTTTTAACTTCATTTATGTTCAGCTGCCGGGAGCGTCTCTACGTAGCGGGATTGCTCGCTTCATGCAGCTCCGTTTCGTTACGTTTCTCGACGCTTGCGAAGTTCCGCTCGAAGAATTCTTCGTATCACTTACAACAAGCGAGTCTTCTGCATGCCATAGGCCTTGATAGTACCCGTCTCTCTCCAAAATTCGGACGTGTTTATACGTTTTCCTTCTTCTGGTCGGAAGCCCAGCCCTCGCGCGGGCGGCTCCTGAGAACGGCAGCCGGAAGACGTTGTTTCCTCGGCCATGAAATAAGGAAATCGTTGCTGTATTGTGTTCAGGAGAGTGATTGCGCTTCGAGCATCCGGAGGCTCTGCATCATCAGTTTGCATTCTTCAAAGTCGGAGTTTGGGCGCGCCTTCCCGATCCGCCACCGGTTAATAGATTGTTTCGTCGTCTGTCGAATCAATTGGTGAACGTCCGTCGTGCGTCGGTCGGGGATGGACGGTCGGGCCGAGTGGTTACGGTCGGGAGAAGCGCAAGCTTCAACAGCGGAGTAGAAACAAAAGAGAGAGGATTATGATTTTTTCTCCGACGAATAGAATCAGCGAACGAGATTAACTCCATCCTTTTAACGCTTATCAGCTTACCGTCATCCGCGGGCGCTGGGTCTTCTGCTGCCACCGCCGCCGATGGATTCGATTTTTTTGCGCTGGCTCGTAGTCCTCAATCAAAGGTTCCGTCTCTCAAGCTTCGCGCGTCTATCCTCTCCGCGCCAAATAATAGTCCCTACATCTTTCATAGGTTCTCTCCTTGACCTTTTTTCTCTCCATCCTAATTCTCCCTACCTCTCGATCCTTCCGAGTCCGGGCCCATGAGCTCAGAGTTCTCGGTGGCTGCAACAGTCTCCATGCGCCTTATTCCCTATTCGAATGTCCCGAGGATCTCCGCCGGCCCACGTGATTCTCTCACAGCGCATATGGTCGGCCGCAAGTTTTCGGTGGGAATTCGCTGCAGTGCGCGCGACTCTTCGAATTCATAT